TCTTTTCATTAAAATAATTAATAAACTAATTATATAAAACAATTGTCAGTGCACTACAAATAAACTGGTTCTATGCCTTTATATAATAAAACTTATTTAAAAAATACAATGCCTTCTGCATTTTTGTTTTGCTTTTCCCTCCATTGTACCGAAATCGTACCGAACCGTGATGTCTGAACCGAGGTATGAACCGAACCGTGACTTCTGTGTACCGTTCCACCCCTACTCTCATCTGATTGGCAAACCATGAAACCAAGAAAGCTCAAGTCATTAGGCTGCCATTAGCAAATTCTATCATACCGATGCAACCTAAATAAGCAGCTCATGTGCAAAATTTTGACTCACCTTGAATCAAAATCACAGTGGCTTTTATTATAGTCATCAATGTTTCAATATTCTGACTGAGCGTCTATTTGTCTTGAGCAAATCAAAGGGTGCTAAAAAGGCCCATCTGGGGAAAGAGATTATCTTTCAGTCGTTTTAGTCGATTTATTTAATTTGATTAGGCATTTAAAGGTGCTCTAAGCGATGTCACGCGTTTTTTAGGCCAAAACATTTTTTGTCACATACAGCAAACATCTCCTCACTAACCGCTGGCTGCCTGTCCCCTGAACACACTGTAAAGATCTCTGTAGACAGCCCAGGCTCCACAAACAGCAACAAAAACAAACTGGGCTAACCCGCTCCACGAAACATGACAAACAGTTCTAGCCAATCACCGACAAGAAGGACTTGGGGGCGGGGTTTGGGGGGTTAGTGCGCGGATGAGGAGGAGGGAGAGTCTAGCTAGCCTCCGTTTTGTTTGACAATACTTTAAACGAAGTGAGGTCACCCGACATCGCTTAGAGAACCTTTAAGATATGAGAATAACGCACTGCCAATAAATTAATAAGATTTGAAATATGCCATGGGTGCTCTGGACAGATTTGGAGTAAGACATGATGTCTTATATTTAATTAAATATTAGCAATATGTTCCTTGCAAAACAATTCTTAGTCGGAGTACTTGGTTAATTTTGAATAACCATAATGGAGAAACATCTTTTTGTTCAATGAGTGCGTATATCCACCTGCCGGGGCTAATGCTTGTCATGTTAATTAGGCACACCTTGACATTTTGATCTAACCAACCAAGTGTAGGTGTGACAACATTTTCATTTTTGGGTGACCTATCCCTAAGTGCAGATCATGATTGATTTGTTTTGGTTATATTGAGTTTTGTTGGTGCTGTTGGGCAGACAGAGCTCCGGTAGCGATCCTATCGTAATCTTCATTGATATCTGGAATGTGAGAGTCTGGATGTGTGCCTTAGTCTAGCACCGCATTTTCCCTTAATTTTGTCTGGCAGCCTTTGACAAACACTCTGTTTTCTGTGTATAAACAGGGAGTCAGTGCATGATGGATCCACTCATTAATCTCCAGGCATGTTTTTCATTGATGCATACTCAAGAGACCCGTGTACAGTTTAAAAGTCAATAGGAATTCAGGTGCAACTCAGGGCAAGTATGCATGCGTACTACACTTGTGACAACCGCATTATAGTAAAAAGTCCTTTTTCAGTCTGACAAAGAGCAAGACACAATGAAAGAGACATTTTCTTAGTATTGTCTCCCTCCTTTGTTGTTTCGACACTGTTGTTTGCTTATGCACAGAGGTATTTTTAGCTCTTATCATGACTCACTTCCCTTTGATAGTACTAAACCAAGAGCCGAAATAATTAAAACTGGGGTAATTCTTTATCTGACAAAATCCACACACTTGAGCTCATGCATGATGCCTGTAAGGTGTGAGTCAGAAATAGCCATAGAAATCCTTGTACTGCCACCAGCAGTAACTAAAGACGGGATTGTGCATGCAAACAAAAGGTGACTGAGCGATTCAGGACTCACTCTCCATTCAAAAGTGCTGGCTCATTCAGAAGATTTCTGATGTAATGGAGAACATTGGACAATTGGAGAAGTGTACGCAACAACGCTGTCAAGTGTGTAGACTGTATTATAAATATGTCTCACATGGGTTCATTTCAATGCATTGTTCTCATGTGCAGACATTTGCGATGTCCCCTATAGAAACAGGAAGAGTTGGTGATGTGTCTGTGTGTGTGTATATACTGTATATATATACACTCACCGGCCACTTTATTAGATACCCCATGCTAGTAACGGGTTGGACCCCCTTTTGCCTTCAGAACTGCCTCAATTCTTCGTGGCATAGATTCAACAAGGTGCTGGAAGCATTCCTCAGGGAGTTTGGTCCATATTGACATGATGGCATCACACAGTTGCCGCAGATTTGTCGGCTGCACATCCATGATGCGAATCTCCCGTTCCACCACATCCCAAAGATGCTCTATTGGGTTGAGATCTGGTGACTGTGGAGGCCATTTTAGTACAGGGAACTCATTGTCATGTTCAAGAAACCAATTTGAAATGATTAGAGCTTTGTGACATGGTGGAAGTAGCCATCAGAGGATGGGTACATGGTGGCCATAAAGGGATGGACATGGTCAGAAACAATGCTCAGGTAGGCCGTGGCATTTAAACGATGCCCAATTGGCACTAAGGGGCCTAAAGTGTGCCAGGAAAACATCCCCCACACCATTACACCACCACCACCAGCCTGCACAGTGGTAACAAGGCATGATGGTTCCATGTTCTCATTCTGTTTACGCCAAATTCTGACTCTAACATCTGAATGTCTCAACAGAAATCGAGACTCATCAGACCAGGCAACATTTTTCCAGTCTTCAACTGTTCAATTTTGGTGAGCTCTTGCAAATTGTAGCCTCTTTTTCCTATTTGTAGTGGAGATGAGTGGTAGCCGGTGGAGTCTTCTGCTGTTGTAGCCCATCCGCCTCAAGGTTGTGCGTGTTGTGGCTTCACAAATGCTTTGCTGCATACCTCGGTTGTAACGAGTGGTTATTTCAGTCACTGTTGCCCTTCTATCAGCTCGAACCAGTCTGGCCATTCTCCTCTGACCTCTGGCATCAACAAGGCATTTCCGCCCACAGAACTGCCGCTCACTGGATGTTTTTTCTTTTTCGGACCATTCTCTGTAAACCCTAGAGATGGTTGTGCGTGAAAATCCCAGTAGATTAGCAGTTTCTGAAATACTCAGACCAGCCCTTCTGGCACCAACAATCATGCCACGTTCAAAGTCACTCAAATCACCTTTCTTCCCCATACTGATGCTCGGTTTGAACTGCAGGAGATTGTCTTGACCATGTCTACATGCCTAAATGCACTGAGTTGCCGCCATGTGATTGGCTGCTTAGAAATTAAGTGTTAACGAGCAGTTGGACAGGTGTACCTAATAAAGTGGCCGGTGAGTGTATATATATATATATAAAGTAACTTTTTGTATATTACTTTATATATATTATATAGAATATTTGCATAATTTCTAATTGTATATTGAGTATTTAATATAAATGTAATACATAGCATATACATATATATATATTTTTTTATATATAAATATATTTCTAAACAGTTTGTATGTGTAATATCTCAAACATATATATATATGTATTTTATTTGTAATGTATAATACTGTCAGGACTGCCAGGGGCCTCTAAAGCCTCAACCCGTGTGCCTTACACTGTCAAATAAAGTTTAACACTTGGGCTCCTGGTGAATATAGTGCAAGACCACTTTGGCCCGTGGGACATTAAGCAGTAGCTGACCACTTGGACCCCCAGGCACTGCTACACTTTCTGTGTGAGCTTATTAGCATGCCACTACTATTTTTAGTCGTCTAATGTTAGTCTACCAAATCAAGTGTTTTTTAAAGCAAGCAGAGCAAGGGTGGAGGACCATGAGTGTACTGTCATATTCATTAGAGAGCAAAATAGTGTGTTTTTTTATGACAAAAGTTTCAAGCAGAAAACACAACACTGTATCTGTTTAGAAACGGGCCTAAGTGACATGTAAAAACTCAGGGTTTCAGCAACTGCGTTTACTATCGCCTGTTTGTTCACAGCAGCAGACAGATGAGGTACCTGATGATCGTGAATCTTTGTATGAAAAATGCCCCCTAGTCTGAGGCAAATGATTTCAAACAAACGCTGAGTGACAGTCAGTGGGCAGAAAATGACACACCGTGGGATAGAAGAGAGAGAGACCTACAGGAGACACACACACAGAGAGAAATACAAAATAAAAGTGCAAGAGGGAGACAGAGAGAGAACAAGAGAAAGAGCGGGGGAGAGTCATTCTCTGTCATTCATTCACACTCCACGGAGAATGGCTTCAGGGAAGGAATAAAAGAGCAGGGGCATCACTAGGTCCTTTTAAGGAGGGCTTTATCCCCCCCTAAATTTCCACCAAGACCCCGTAAAAAAATTAGATTAACTCCGTAATATATACACTAATTCGTGATCGCCTCAGTCCCCTTTAAAACTCATATGAAACCGACGACAGGCTTCGTCTCATCTCCATAGTTTAGTCTGCGTTATTCAGCGTGTTCTTCAATCCGTAGCAGTGCAACGCCAGCGTCAAATGCAGAGGACAACGTGTGTTCATTTATTCATTGATTGTTATGATATCTGCATCGGTGTTTCATGTCATTTTTATGTTAAAAGTGTTTGTTTTCCACCAGATGACAGAAATCCTCCTAAAGCATGGCACATTTTCCATGTCATCTCCATGAATGAAAATGACAAATGTAGATCTTCCTTAAAGTTAGACAATTGTAGTTATATAAAGTTTGTCTATATTCTTAATGAATATTAGCTGGTTATTTAAAATGATTAGAAATTCATTAAATATTCAGGGATTGACTTTATAGGTAGTGTAGAACCTACTGTATTGTTCATGCCTACCCTAGTATGCAAACAATATATACTTTTTTTCTATTTTTTTAATCATTGAGGGCTGAGACCCCCTAATATTGAAATAGCCCCTGTCAAAGAGTATGATTTTTGTTATCCCTCTGATGGGTGAAAAGGGCTTTACAAAGCAGAAAGGAACTGATTCTAGCAACTCCACTTTTCCCTTTCAGATCTTGTGGACAGTGTTTGAGAGTGTGTGTGCATATGTGTGTGCGTGTGTGAGGGCGCGCGTGAAAGTGTGTGTGTTAGCACTTCCACATGGCCTCCATGCAGGACGGGGTGAACTTCTCTGCTCATCCCTACGGCAAAGTACTGCTGCTGGGGGCCATCGCCGCCGCCTCAGCCTTCGTTGTCACCATTCTCATCGTCGTGCTATGTGTGGGCTGCCAGAGGTGAGTTGCACACTAACACATATGCTCATATAAAATGCTCTAATTTCATGTCCTCTCTAGGTTGTTTGTTTAGATTCATATTCAGGGGTGCTTGCTTGTTCAAACCCCTAACCTAAGTATAGTGCATAACTTATCCTGCTTTTGTGTTGCATACATAATACCTCAAATCATGCAGCTCCTGAGGAGAGGGTTAAAATAAAACGGTGAAAAACGTCCTTAGACTTCCACTGAAGGAAGGACACCATGTATTGTGACCATATTGTTATAGAGACATGGGCTAGAACACAACAGAAACCATCTAGAAACACTCTAGCAATAACCCAGAACACCAAAAAAATAAATACACCAAACCATAAAATGTAATTTAGTCCTGTGATGGCAAAACTGTATATTTAGCTGAATATTTCAGAAATCATTTAAATATTCAGATTCTCTGCTCAAGAGATGTTAATCTCTTATTATTATCAATGTTGAAAACAGTTGTGCTGTTATTATTTTGTGGAAGCCTTGATCATTTCTGTTCAAAATTATTTAATGAATAGAATAGAAAGTTCAAAAGAACAGCATTTATTTGAATTTTTCTTTTTAATGTATTTTCATTTCATCTTCTAGATCCATGATTTTTTCCCCCCAGTCCATTGCACTCAATAAATTATAACACCGGCAGATCTTACTTTCTAATGTAGGCCTTATATTAGTACAGTATTTTTGAATAAACAGAGATTTTGACCAACATGGTCACACCATTGTGATTTGTACTATAAATCTTCATAACAGGAATATCACAGAAAATACTCCTGTAATATGAAGGCATATGTAATATGTGTTTGTTCTAGGACAAAAGCCATAGATCACCTGTCTTCACCCATCACTGTCACCAAGGTCTTTTATAGAGCTTATTCAAAAATGACATTGAAGTTCACCCACTCCTCTTTCATGCTCACTGGGTAATGGTGGCGATGTCCTTTTGACATGGCAGTGATGTTTAAACAGGAAGTGCCTGTTTATTTTATTTTTTACTTTTCCATCTCTCTCTCTTGTTCCACCGATGATAGCACAGAACGTGCTGTGTGAATGCTAATGTCTCATTTTGTCAAAGCACATGATGCATCTGGTAGTAGGAGGACAAAGAAAAAGAATTAGGGGAATGAGAGATAGAGGGATAGAGGAAATTCAGATCCTGTGGGAAAAAAGTAAATGAAAAAACTCGAGAAGGTGTATAGATACTAGATAGTAGGAGCTCTTCTCAATATTGGACATTTTCAGTTTTCTAGCTTAACAAGTATGAGATATTACTACTGATAAACCTACTAAACCTATTGCTACTGACCTCTTCAGGTCAAGCTTGCTGACAAAATATTATTTAGAGCTAGCAAATATACTAAACACTGTAGTCAAAGATGAACTTAACTAAAATGTTACTAATATAAGATTTCATATAAGAATTATTGCATTTGAACGTCTATAATGTGCGGCTCATAAAGGAATAGTTCACCCAAAAATGAAAGTTGAAACAGTTCATAACCAGTCGGAATGATTAATTTATGATTCAGACTGATCCGGTTCTCACTGACTCGCTAATTCAGTGATTCCTTTGTAGTGGTTAACTGACCAATGTAGGGGAAGAGTGTAAATTTCGGTCTATTTGTCACACAAAGCATTGAAATATAGTGCACGAGTAGTAGGGACCACTGTTATGATGCTTTTGTGTAAGCCCATATATTGTAACTACATGCAAAAAAACCCCCACAATATAATATTTTAAGAGTCACAATATTAATATCACAATATAAAGGCAAAATTTAAGCTTATGTGATAACTTTTCTTCACTAACCTTGCACATAATTCATATCATGTTAGTCTTGAACAAGATAAATATATGGGTTTAAAAAGCTGTAGTTGTAGACTATATATTTATTCCCAAAAGTTTTTTGAGAAGGATAAATGTTCTTGCATGATATTACACTAATGTTTTTTATTCTGTTATGTCTTAAAAACAAATATCAGTGATTCACTGTAATCTCAATAATAGCTTTAGTACTTTACAAAATCCATTTTGGATCTATTTCTCCTGCTGTTCTTCTTCTGAGGGCAGATTCCTGATACCTACTCTGTTCCTGTAATCTTATCAAAGCAATGCTAGGCAATCAGAAGAGAATGACAGACATGCTTTTCCAAGAATAAACAGATGTCTGGTCAAATTTGGCGGAACATTCCGGGCAGTGGGTCTGGATCGGGAGGCTCTGTGTACGAGTGAGAGAGGAAAGTTTAGATTCTGGAGTCACCGAAAGACATTAATGTTTGTGTACTTCTTGTCCGTTCATGAAGAAATGAATCCTCGGCATCTATTTAACTATTTTAATGATGTTTGAATTGTGTTATGTTGAATATTTGATCGATTTTCTGTGTGGCTAAGTTTTGGCCTGAACACCGTCACTATGCAGTTACTCAGATGCCTGTTAATTATCCAGTGAAAGCCTTCTGTTGTTTAAAATGCCAATCTGGACTCATTTCGAGGACAGTTCATCTTGAATACACTTGCCCAGTTACTACTTCAGATCAAATGACTTCACTCAAACAGTTTATGAAAAACAACTGCCTTGAATCCTTCGAGTAGCCTAATTGAATTGAAATGTGCATTTTCTTCCCGCACAAGATAAACAGTTGGAGCTGCTAAAGTAAATTGAATCAGGGGGCTCAAATGAGTCCGCGCATTCCGTCTCCATAAATACATGGATAAACGAAGCATTTGAAGTTTGAACCTAACATTCTAAAATGTTTGATTTGGGATCTGATTCACATCTCTCTCATTGTGTCCTGCAGAAAGGGGAAGACGCACAATGGCCCTGGAGAGGAGAGGAAGCACAGGCTCATGGACATGGTGAGAATTTTTAAGTCTCTTCTGGGTCTCATTCACTAATAATTGCACACAAGTTGTACATATCCTTATCCATTTAGTTACCCACTAGTTTATGAATGTATAATTTAATGTAATGTATATGTCAGTTGTTTTGGAAAGAAGTCTCTTAAGCTCACCAAGGTTGCATTTATTTGATAAAATAATATTGTGAAATATCATTACTTATTTATAATGACTGTTTTTTTATTTCAATATATTTTAAAATGTAATTTATTTAGCAGTAATCCCTCCAGTCTTCAATGTCACATGATCTTTCAGAAATCATTCTAATATGCTGATTTGGTGCTCAAGAAAGAGTTGCTGCTTAATATTTTTCTGAAAACTGTGATTACATTTTTTTCAGGAACTTGAATATAATTTAATGTTTCTAAGAACAGCATTTATTTCAAATATAAGTATTTTGTAACATTATAAATGTCTTTTATTTTCGTCAATTTAACGTGTCCTTGCTAAATAAAAGTATTAATTTCTTTCAAAAAAATAAAATCTTACTAACCCCCAACTTTTATATATATATATTGACAGAAAGAGAGAGTATCCTAAACTGCAACCTTATTGATATATCATGATTTCTGTATGAAAACATTTACAGACAGGTTTTTTTTTGCGCAATTACATGTGCATGCATGGCTAGTGAATGAAACCCTTTCTCCTTCCTTGCAATCAATTCCTTCTTTTCTACGTATTTTCTAAGAAACCCAGGTCTGGGCTCAGTTCCATGTCAGTTCAAGCAGTTCATGGTTTTGTTTCAGGATTTGAATTCTTCCCACTAACCAGTTTTCAAGTAACAAATTGAAGGCTCCTCCTGAATTTAATTAATCTTCTTAATCGGCTCAGTGGAAATGGATCTGACCTAAACTTTGAATGTATCTCTTAAGCTTTGAATCTAAAACAAAAGCATTTGAGCCATTTCACTTTTTTAGCACCACACACAGTAAGACAACCTAATGTAGATGTGTGTATTGCCATGTACTAGCTTGGCCCAACAATATGCCCGACGTAGGCTGAATTGGAAAACTGACAGTTTTGTTGTATTTGTTATACTGTTTTATTTTTATTTGAACACGCATTTTAAGCAGTTTATCTTTGCATCTTTTTTCAGAGTATACTGCGGCAGTCCAAGCTGCGCTCCATCAGTAAGTCAGACACCAAGCTTCATGAGATGAACAGACTCAACTGCAATGGCAAGAGTATGTACTGTAAAATCACATCTCTTAAAGCTCTTAAAGTCTCTAGCTCTTCACACATACCTGCAGTTCGGGAGGCAGGTCTGAGCATGGTACCAACTGCATTCCGGTAGTTTCAATGAGGCTATTTTACTAGATGTAATTACTTTTACTCTATAGTGATTGGCATGTGTCTGCTGCCCTTTGCCTCTGCAGTTTCGAGCAAATCTTTTTATTGTCTCTTTGAAAAAAAAAACCCAATAGTTTTGCTTCTCAGATTTTAAGCTCTCAACTTCAGTTAACATCATGCTGCTCTCTGTAGAATCTTCTAAGAAGAACCGTCCCGCCAGCATGGATCTGCTCCTACTCCCTAGCCGTCGCTCAAACTCCGACCTGCGTTCTCAGGGCCGCCAGCTGCCTCAGATCCCCTCTGGTGAGGACGGGGAACACACGTACGCTGAGGTGGGCCGCCGCTCCTCTCCCACACGTGGTTCTGAGGATGCCCGCTATGGCGTCGGAGGTCGAGCTGGGGAGACGGACACCCCCGCCCCACCGGCGGTCCCTGCTAATACCCCAGCTCCACCTGATCCTGACGGGGACTGCTTAGAGGGTGGGATTCCGGAACCTGAGACCCTCCCCCAAGTATTAAACACGCCCCCTCAACCGCAGGAGACAGTGGAGTACGCCTGCATCAGAAAGGTCCGGAGAGTGGACAAAGCCGCCCAGAAGAGGGACAATGGGACGGAGACCGAGGAGGGGCTTGGACAACAACGACACAGTAGTGGGGACATTCGGCATGCCCCACCTACTCACCCAGCCCCGCCTCCAACGCACCCACACAGTCAGAAGATTCCTCGGAAAAACATGGAGGGCTTCAACCTACCGTCTTTCCCTAAGGTATCTACATATCTATCTATGTATATGTACATGCCTATGTATCTGTATATCTATCTATCTAGACCTATAAAAAATATATTTTCTAGTTAAATAGTGAAATTAATTTCTTTGAATATTGATTCATTTTCATACAAGTTTATTGGGTTCAAATTGCAATTCTATTTGGTACATTCAAGAACTGAATAAGAATTTAAAGGATTCTCATCTCATTTAAAATATTCTCAATTCCATTCTGAATGGTCCACAAACCTGCATTTACATCTACTGTACATTTATACATTTGGCAGACGCTTCCTGGGAGTCAAACCCACAACCGTGGTGTTGCTAGCACCATGCTCTACCGCTTGAGTTTCAGTCTATAACCCTCATATACTGTATAGCAGTGAACAAGAACAATGCAGTTAATTACTATCAATGCTAAAATGCTAGAAATGAATCAAGCCAATCAATTAATTAATTGTGATTATGTCACTTCTACACATACATTCAGCATGTAATTCACTAAGTCATGCAACACTGCAACGGCATTTCGCTTTAGACGGCGTTAGACTACAAATGCAAAGTACAAATACAAAGAACTACTGCAGTATATAAAAGCATTGTTGCTCATGAAAACTATTTGTCTTTTCATGACCATTAAAAGCCTTTGAGTCGCTGAAATTTCCGATTGCTCTTTAAATTGTGTCTTTAAATGGAATATATTATAAATAGAAGCATGCTGGCTGGGAATGTCTTCCTGTATTTTTGTGTGCCTCAGCACTAGTGTGGACTTACAACTAAAGTGGGTCTGCAATTAAGTACACTGCAAGTGTACTTCATTATTTCCTCTGTAAGAAACTGTCCAAATCAATGATACTTGGGAGCATTGTGGTCCATCCACAGCATTAGGGGTGTTGCACGCTCTTTGGTACTAAACTATGAGGATGATGCAACCAGCGGAAACGCGGAGTGAAACCTCTCATTCACTGAAACCCAGGCAAACAGCCAGACCCATAAAATGGGCCAGTTCTAATGGGAGACAAAGTGAATTCCAATGTTGAACGAAAGAAGCTACAACAACATGCTAATCCCTGCCTTAAAAATGGCTCTGTGACACGCCCCATTGCCCACCTTCCGTTTCTCCTGCATAACAATGAGGAGAAAGTGCACAGCAAGCATCAGCCTGTTCCCTTACAGCCCGAGTACAGGAAACACATTAAGCTCAATATCATTAGATGCAGAAGATGGTTAGACATGAGGGCAGGCATTAAGAGGGGGGATTGTAGCCTGATTATGCCACATAGGCTTATTTTCAGGTAGAGGAGTTTTGAATCGACTCCTCAATTGACCTTTGAAAAGTCTTTGTGGATTTCTCACATCCAGCTGGTTGACTGTGTGACTATGAAACAATTTTAAATGGTTTTCTTGGATTTCTTTATTCTAATTAATGTGAACTTTTACCTGCAACAGCTAAAATATATACCCAAAAACTAGGAGTATTTTAGTTAACATTTTAGTATTTTCGTTAACATATTTTAGTATTGACATTTAGTTAACCTCATGCCATTCGCAACCCGTAACACAATTTTTTTAACAATATCCTGGCAACTCTTTTCAATATAATGAGTGAAACAGCTGATTTGTTCACAAATTGGACTCGTCTAGTTCTTGAGTTCAACTTACCGACTTGATTCAGTTGCAGCTCACTGGAAGTAACTATCAGTGGCTAATGACCTACAATTTAATGTGTCTCACACAAAGACATTGGAAAGATTTAATTTTGCAATATTTAAGTTGTATGGATTTTCATGTTGCTTTTACACATTTTGAAGCTCCTTTAGTGTTCCATAAAAGAAATAAAGTCATACTGATTTGAAACAACATGAGGGTGAGTAAATGATGTCAGAATTCCTTTTGTGGTGAATTATTTCTTTAAAACTACTGGTTTTAAACCTGTGAACTGTGCTTGGAGGTCATGATGAACTATGCTGAGCTCTACTCCCCAGTGTATATTGTTTGAGATGGCTCCTTAAACTGTAATATAATATTTATTCTAGTCAATTGTTTTTAATACTTTAGGAGGCAGTGTTTATGGGAAATGGAGAGCAGTACATATGGAAACCTCCGGAAGAGGATGACATCATCTTCCAGCACAAGCAGATGGGTATTCTAAGCTCTAATGCGGGAGAGAATATGGCAGCATCTGCAGCAGGGGTGAGTGTGCATTTAGTTTTCCACAGTCCTGAGACACATCCTCTTCTTCTCATTCTGTGCAGTCAAAAAGTCTTGTAGGGTATTATAGAATCTAGAAACATTGTAGATGATCCCAGAGCACTTCCTCACCCCTAAACACTGTTTCAGAGTTAACTAGAAGCAGCTGTAAAATGTGTATTCTTAAAAGACCAAACATTTGGAGTCAAAGATATATACACAGACTTTCCACTCACAAATACATTTCAGATGGTTTGTCTTTTTATTGTCATGTAGATCACAGAGATGTATTCGAAAGTCTGCAAACTGGGCAAAAAGAAGCGAGGCGTGCCCGGCTCGCCCCCCGCTGCGAGGGACATCAGCGGCTATAGGACCTTGGCTCGGGGTGACCGCGGTGAGCGTGACGGGGGTTTCAGCGTGGTAGTCAAACCCCAAACATGGGCACCGCAGGAGGGTAAAGCCTCGAGAGCGCCACCCGGCTGCATGGAGGACCACTGCTACGAAGCCATCAGCACCGAGGAAACAGACCTGGCTTACGAGACCATGGAGGGTGGGGGAGGCTGGAGGCGAGACAGGCCTCCGCCCAATGCCAGCGCCACCTTGCGACCCAAGCGGAAGAGGCCCCAGCAGCCCTTACAACAACCACCGCCACCCCCTCCACCCCCCCAGCAGACCCCCAAACTACAGCATCTCCCGGCCAAAGCAATGCTGATGCCCGGGGAGAGCCTGTATGAGAGCATCCCTGACCTGAAGCAGGGCTCGGCAACCTCCAGCACAACCACCATCTTTACTTTTAATGACGGTATGGAGATGTATGTCACTGGCCTGTAGGGGGTGCTCTAGTAAAGGGAACTTTCCTCTCTAGGGCTTGAATTTTGAATTGGGACACGCGCACGTGTGTCGTAACCCAATGGGATACGCGCATTGTGCCACTGCTATATATTTTACATGGGTTCCAAGTATTAGTTGAGCATTAATTGAGTTTTGTAAGTCTAGTTAAAGGTCAGTATTCTCGCAGCACAAAATGATAGAATGAAATGATTTCGATTAGTCACACACCTCATCACGAGGAAGAAAAATAGTCACCAGCCATGACATATTACCACACACAAAACATATCACACCTAACAGTAGCATTCCTGTAGAGGGAATTCTTGTTTATTTATCATTAAATGTTGTATTTTCGAACAAAGTGACCATCGGAATTGCGGGTCAAACTCGTATTTGATGCCTAGAAAATCCCAAAGGAGAAAAAAAACGAGCACAAGCCAATTACAAAAGCAACTTCTCAAAAAGCACAGTCTAATTGTGTTCCACGGCCCTCTGAGGAAATTTTTTGGATTCGAAGCACTTAGCAAAGCTCTGTCCCATTTCAAAAATGAATATATAGAAAGCGAACTTTATCAGAGAGCCAATCAAAAGCTATTGCAAAGCAAAATATCATATATTGACAAAAAGCCTTTATTTAATCTGTTCATAGAAGAATTGATCCTATTTTAAAACAGCTAAAAGCTATCTATTATCTAAAAGCTTTAGGAAATACATGGCTCTATTTTTGTAATATCAAAGCCTCTATTTCTGTAAAAAATTAATCACATAATTTTAGAGTTAAAATAAAGATTCTAATTCGATTGGTCAAACAGATCCTGTACGTCAATAAAGTATTTTCTTATAAGCACAAATATTTCATGCTCAGCATGTCATCTGTCGTAGACAGTCCCCTTATAAAATTGAAGAGTACATATAAAAAAATTAATAGATGGTAAGTTGTCACTAAAGCAAGATCACGGAGGGAATTAGCAAAAGCTCAGGGACAGTGAACAAAAATATTAAATAATTGCACACAAAAACGTTATGACATATCTGACAGGAGACCCCCCAATGTCTTTTCATGTTATTTTTTGTTTTGGTCATACATCAATTCAAACTGTCACATGAGTCACCACAGTGCTTCAATGCGGTATAATAAGTGTTTTTCTTTGTCAATAATGTTTATGCACTTTGCCTGATTAAAAAGATGCATGCTTTCAAGAAAAAAAAAACCTTGTAAAGGGATAAAAAAAGAAAAGAAAGTAAAGTAAAGTGAAACTAGCACTGTCCTGTGGTATCAGAGAATGGTTTATTTCTTGCTGTTGTTGGTGGATTGTTTGATTTATATCTTCATCTGAGAAAGAGCACAAAGTGAATCGCTTCAGGACTGGGGAGACCAATGACGACCCGAGGAGGACTCTCTAAATAAAAAAACTGGACAGTTAGGAATATAACACAATTGGTCAGAAGAAATGTATCATAGACAATCCCTTTCCCCCCATAATTTCAGAAGCAGTCAGGATGTCCACATATGTCCAGATAAGATTGAATGGAATCGCATATATCAGATTGTTGCAAAAATTATCCTGTATGTTATATGGAAATAATGGGAGTTTAAAAAAGTTACAATGACAAAGCGATTTAAAATTAGTGTATGTTGCCCCGTAGGTCTATGGGAGGGGGGGTTTGGGGTTTTATGGCCAGACAGTGACGAGTTTCGCCAGTGGACAATGTCAAACTATCTGTGATCTGTGGACTATAGCCGCTCTCTCAGTGTCTTTGAATCTGATGCTAATGTGATCTGGATTAAATTATCCCAAATAGCCGGAGCACTCAGAAAGGGGCTCAGGTCAACCAAATATAATCAAACCGCTTGTCTAAGCCTTCGTTGCTATCAAATGTTGGTGCAGTGTTGTAAATATGTTACAAACAGAAGAAATGCAGAAAAGGGGGAGGGAATTTGCTCTTGGTGTTCCTGAAAGTATTTGTTTCTCTCCGGTTGTCCTTTCGGAATGATTTTTCTCTGGTGAAAAATTATCTCAGCAGTATATCTGTGAGTTTTGATTATGTGCTTTGGGATTTTTTTTTGTTTTCCACATTATTTTAGCTATATTGTGTATCTCAAAGACCAGTTGAGTTTAGTGTGGCAGCTAATGTTGTGCGTTTGCTTATCAAACAACAGGGTGGTGTGTATTAAAGCTGTGTAATTAAGTACTAATGTGCAAAAGATTGTAATGTTTTTATATCAAAATGACTATTCATAAAAATGTCGGGTCAAGTTTATACTTTTTTAAATAAAGTAGCACTTCAAAAAAACACAAAGCATAGAGCATTTACATAGTGTTTTCTCCCAATAAGTCATTCATTCTTGAAAGAGACAATATAAGTAAGAGCTGAGACACAGGAACAATTTTTTTTTTTTGTAGCACAAACTATAGTTATTTGATACTTACAACTGTTCCGACTAGCACACACATAGCTGTACATTGGTGGAGTCGCACACAATGGACAATGGAGTAAAACATGGGAAAGGGTGGAATAATACACAATATTTATTTGCAAGTACCACAGTTAAGGAAGAGATGGACCTGCGAAGTTGAGGAACATGATGTAAAATAAGAAATCGTATATGACTGTTCTTATATAGATGCATTAACAAAACAAAAAAATGCTTTTTGCTTGTTCGGAGTATAAATAAACAGATTTGAGTTGGGTTTAAGTCATTTAAAAAGAACTAGGGGTTTTAACAGCAACACAAACATTGAAGACGTTAATAAGCAAAAGTCTTGCTCCTCCAACTTACTGACTTACAAAAGAACCAGATGTGCACCTGTGTTAGATTTGCATTCTGTGATGTCTGTAGGCATCAATGCTAAAGGGTTCAGCAAATATTCCAGAGGACATTTCTCATTCTAAATCTGGATGCGATTAAGCTCTGATTAAACTGGCTTTGATTAGTTTATACACTCAGGTAGATGAGGAATTGCATTAGAGTTCTTTGTTTACCCTAATTAGCCATTGAAGCTGCAGTCACATCAGCCTTTCACTATGGTACATGCTGTTTCTATGACAACTGCCTCACTGTCATGGTATGGTATTTAAGAATTCCCCTCCATTGAGACAAAATCTCATCGCATTTCACAGTAAGATTACATTAAAAACAGATGGAGGAGGTCACAGGGATTTCTCTCTCTCTCTCTTATTTCATTCAAATCCTCTACCAGACCATATGAACTTGTGTTTGTAAAAGTGTAACCCGTTTCCCTACCTCTCTGACTGTCCCTGCGTGTGTTTGTGTGTCACAAGCTTGCATCTGACTTGCTCTGGAAAAAAAAAATAGGTCATCCTTAAAACAAAAAGGGTGCAGTCAACATAGCAACCGTCTGCTGTTTTTTTATTGGCTGACTTGTTTCCATAGTAACAGGTTAACCTTGAGGCTGCAGTTGCAGACCAGTTTGTTGTCTAGGCAAATCCAGCATGTATGAGGAGCTCTGCTAAGTCAAGATGTCACCCACATTTTAGAGCTACAGCAACACTGGTAAAAAGGGCCTGACTCAGAAGCCCTGGAAATATTTTTGTATGTTGGAGCAACCTAGTGTGGCTACAACACAGTCTCTGTCATCTAGATTTCTATACAATGTATGTCAGCACTGTACAGTGCCTTTGATCCATGTATCCACCTCCTTTGAATTATTCCGCATTGTATTCAATATTTTTGAGGGAATGGTACTTTAGGTTCTTTTCTCATGTATTGTATTGCCATTTTAAAATGGGGAAAAAGTGAAATTTCAAAAATTGTATGTTTCCAAACTTTTTATTGACGTCAAATGAGAATAGAGCATTTTCATTCTACATACTAGATATTTAAACGTGTGTGTGTGTGTGTGTGTGTGTGTGTGTAAGGAGTAATTGACGAAGTGCTGTTGAATTATTGAAAATTGATGCACACTGGAGGTTGTATGCAGCCACAACACCAATTAATTTAACACCTCGAGACATGGGCTGCGTTCGAAATCGCATACTCTCCAGAGTAAGTATTTTGTATGCATGTTCTATATTATGAATGTGAGTAGTATGAATGGACACACTACACTCTCTACATTATCATGTGACCTACCAGCGTCAGTTACGTCGCTTCACTGCCCTTCACAAATCCTCTTCCGTGGCGTCATGGGATAGTAAAGTGTCCATCGTATGCACACAACAGAATCTCGCCGGAAGAAGTAGGTCATACTGGGACTTTTTGCCTCCTCTTTTATAGGTACCGTGAATTCGGACATATTTATTTTGTCACATACTGCTTTTTGCCTACTATATAGTAGGGACATATGCACTGCATATGCAGATGTTTTTATTTTAAGACCTTTGTCAGTTGCACAATCCTCAGTTGCTATTTCCAAAACATTTTACGGAGGCCTGAGCCATAGATATGTAGTTACGAGAGAGAGATAAAGCATGTGTGAATTACCTGAGTCTGTGTGGCTCTTAAAAGTGTTCGGCAGAAGCATCTCTAATAGTCAAGCTGTAAGTTTAAACAGTGACATTGTTATCTTACTGAGATTTGTCATGTAGTTGCTTGAAACTTTGTGGAAAAAGTCGACCATGGGGAAGTTGCTGAAAACAAGTATGTGCAGATGTGTTCCTGAAAAAAAAAGTTGCAGATTTTTTGCCCTAAATGCAGATGGTCAGATTCTGGCCTTTAATAAAAATGTAGCTCCCATCAAGTCAAATAGGTCATATCTGTGAAGTGCTGAAGAGATTGATTATGTCTGGTTAATTTTAGCCAAATATATCTACTGGATTAGATGCCCATTGTTTCCAGTTACCTAATTCGTTAAAAGTCTGCTCTTAGAAATGACTTGTTAATGCAAGTTTCCTCGATTTTGCTGAAACAGGTGTCACATATATCTTTTAAAACCTTCTATGGCTTTTTCCTACTTACACATTTTTTATCTTGACTGTTAATTATTCCATCTCAATAGAGCTCTTGTTCGGTTCCTCTCAATGAAGACCCCTTCACCTTCACCCAGAGCTATTAAAGGTAGGGTAGGCAATGTTTTTCATAAACACTTTTTGTTATATCGGTTGAAACTCTCTTCACGTCCTGATTAGCCTGGGAAAACCCAAACAACTTCCGGCAAATTTAGATTTGCTCTGAAAGTTAGTCTGGCAAAGAGCTCATTCAAACCCATTTCCAATCCGTCGAAATCGCGGCACCAATCAGAAACGTTGGGGCGGGCTTTACACGATGACGACAGCGCTGGGATTTTGAAGCAGATTTTGTAGCCTACATTACAAAGATGGATGCCTCCGTCGAACATCACTCGTTCGAATCAGCTATCACGTCTGTTTTAAGCGATTTGAACGTTTCCTTTTTGTTAAAAACCGAGCAAAACACTCGATGTTTCTCCGCCGCTCTGCATACGTCAGCTCCTTCATCGCTCTGATTGGTTTTAGGTCTATCCGCGATGTCCGTTGGTGACGCCCCTCTGGAAATGATTTGTCTATGACGCTTTGCCAGGCCATAACTCAGTTACAACTGAGAATGGTCTGGTTTTAACCAGGCTACATCCTGATAGCAATCAATAATAGAAGTGGTCTACATATAAAAAGAATGTACATCTGTGGAAGTCTCAGGACCAAAAAATGTTTGTCCAATCATTGCATTCGGTCCTAATGCAATAATAGGATTCTGTATTTGCATACTTCTGCACACCCTGCTTGCGCAGACATCACACGTCATCAGTGTGTTCCATGATGAGGCTATGCAGAGTTGTAGACACACAGTCACCGAGCGCTGGAACAAACAGCAGCTACCATTTACAGTTCCTTCTGAACCAAAACAACAAGCTTATGCTGCGTTCACACTATAACTACCGTAATTAAGAGATGGAAAGTCGTGTCGTTCTACTCTGAGAGGTTCACGTCCTCAGACTCAGATTTTTGCGTTTCTATGTCAACACTATCAACGCTGAAATGAAACCCTTTGAATAAATAGGGTTCTGCGATCTCTTATGACACTTTGCTGAATCTGCTCTGGCTGTGTGCGACCTGCGTGTTAATGTGTTTTGGAGGAGCGCTCTGAAGGTATGGTGGTATCTAATGCTTTCAAAGCTAGCTTGTTATTGCTATCCACTCTGAAATTGCCTACCCTACCTTTAACAGGTTCTTGAGCTGAGTAAGTGTGCTGTTATTTACTCTCAAGGCTTATAGTTCCACAACAAAAACACCTTGAGCTTAATCTTGTCACTATTCTGTTTAGCTACTAGGGTCATGGCTAGGTCAGTGTCTTCTTCTGGTCTTTTATTAAGATTGGAATAATAGTTTGGTTTGATTGTCTCTAAATTCTTGAGTGAACAACATATTTTTACTAGGGCTGTCAAATGATTAATCACGATTAATCACATCCAAAATAAAAGTTTTTTTTACATAATATATGTGGGTGCACTGTGTATAATTATTTTGTATATATATATAAATACACACACATGCATGTATATTTAAGAAAACAATATTATTTATATATAAAATATTTATATTTATATATAATATAAATTATATATAAATCTATATACAGTATATACATGAAAATATTTCTTAAATATATACAAGCATGTGTGTGTATTTATATATATAAAATAATTATACACAGTGCACCCACATATATTATGTAAAAAAAATAATTATTTTGGATGTGATTAATCACGATTAATCATTTGACAGCCCTAATTTTTACTAAATGCATATTAGTTTCATCGTTGGGGTTTGAATGCCCTTATTAAACCTACAAAAGAACAATGAGACAGGAGGAGTGAAGTACTGCCCCCTGGTGTTAAGGCTGCAGATACACATGTACAATAAATAAATACAATTTGGAGAGAAAAAACAGCTCTAACTTGCTCCCAGAAAACTCCCTCTGAGCTGTCTGAAGAATGATGAAATAGAAATTTCTCTAGCAATTGTAAGATAGAAGGTTTGAGGAAAATATAAAATGCGTGTAAAGGACTGACACATTATCAAGTGCTTGAAAACATGTAACACCCAAGTGTCCAGCCGTTCTTATAGTTGTACTTCTACACAAATGTACAAACTAATGCTTAGAAATGTATAAAAGTTACCATTTTGAACTTTTGTGACAGTGTTTGAGGAGCTAGAATAAGATCAAATCTAACATACTGTATGTGTTTGTTTATTGATAAAAGACATTTTATTGTTTTAGATCACATCATGAAAATACGGTTTTAAAATAAAGTGCTACACAATACTGTGCCTCATAAATGTGCTTGGAAAAACTATTTATGTTCCTGGCTGACTTTATGAAATTACAGTAAGTGTTGATCCTCACTCGTCACAACTGCCTGAATTGCTTGAACAAAATGTCAAACCTCTGAAGAGCAGCTATGTGGTTCTTGCTGTTCTTCATCAAGCCACGATGAAGACCCATCTGTCCCAAAGTAACGGTCACCAAAGTCCCCTTTAAGGACAGCGAATACACACCCACAAGATTTTAGTACAGAGTGTAGTTTTTTTCTTCATCTTAGATACACTACAATTCAACGATTTGGGGTGGGTCAGAATTTTTGGTAACATTACAATAAGGTCCCATTAATTAACATCAGTTAATGCATTAACAATAACTAACAATGAACAATACATTTGTTACTGTATTTATTAGTCTTTGTTAACATCATTTAATAAAAAAAAACTGTTCATTGTTAGTTCATGTTAGCTCAGGTCCATTAAATAATTTAAAATGTTTAATAATGTATTAGTAAATGCTGAAATTAATATTAATAAAGGCTTTAGAAGTATTTTTCATTGCCAGTAAAAACAGTGATATTGTAAAATATTTGTACAATTAAAAATAACTGTAGTCTGTTTTAATATATTTTGAAATATAATTTATTCCTGTGATGTTAAAGATGAATTTTCAGCATCATTACTTCAGAAATCATTCTGACATGATGATTTGCTGCTAAAGAAACATTTATTTTTTATCTATGTTGAAAACAGTTGAGCAGCTTAATAATTTTGTAGAAACTGTGATGCATTTTTTTTTCAAGATTCTTTGATGAATAGAAAGTAAAAAAAAAATATATATATATAATTTATAAATGTCTTCAAAGCCACTTTTGATCAATTGCATCCTTGCTGAATAAAAATATTTATTTATTAAAAAACAAAAAATCTTACTGACCCTAAACTTTTGAACGGTAGTGTATCTGTCAGGACCACTCACCTATCCCTGGGATGAGATGAAGAAGGTCATCTAGGCTCTTGTCCACAGCAGTGGTGATGATTTTGACACGAGGGAAGGCGTAAGCCACTGAGGAAACACCCAACTCCGCCATCAGCAGAGACACCAACACAATCTTGTCTTCCTGGACATCATGGTCCTGTATTTACACATACACACTCACATTCAACAAATTAAAACATTCTAACAATGAGTTCTGGCCCCCAGTTACTTTATTTCCAGTCAAAAAACGCTTTGAGTAAACGTGTCTAAATTATACTGCCGTGCAGGGTTTGCACATTTCGGAAGGAATGAGGTCTACAGCAACATACCAGCAACACCCTCACTGCCATCATGGCTGCCGCTCCAGTAGAAACGGTGCTATCCATCAAAATCACATGGTCCTCACTGATGTCTCTGGGCAGTCGCAGGTAGTGCAGCTAAATGGAAGGGGAGGGAGTCATAGTTACCACGGAAACGAAGTGAGAAAGAAGGAACCACAGCCACCAAAAAGAATGAAACTGAGGAGTCAGGAGATCTCTGTTACCACGGAGACAGAGACCAACAGGCAAAATGGACAAACAGGGTTTGTGGCGAGCCGAGAAAATAACAGAGAAAAGGCCACAAATATAAACAAAAAAAGCATGGTGAAATACCAGGCATAATCTGTGTCCAAGAAAAAAAGGCATATTTATTATAGTCAGACTAAAGCCGGGCGTAGACGGTATGATTTTTGTTGTCGTATGAGCTCGCAGGCGATTATTTTTTCATGTCAATCGTCGATGCTCGTATGGTTGTGGCTCGTATCATGTGAGAAGCATTACGAGCCGAGCAGAGTACCTTACGGGCACGATAATCTTTAAACGTTTAAAAAATTTGAGACGTCAGCCTGAATTTCACCAGTGTAGGCTCTTTCCTATTCTCAAATCATACAACATATACATACATAATCACATAAGCTACTAGCGACCCAATATCGTGCACATACACTGACACACAAATACACTCTCTAGTTGTTATTGTTGACCAGAATGACCATACTGTTCTCTGCTATTCACCTAGTCATTTACACATCTCTTTATTCATTTTTCGTTTCTATCAGAAGCTATAGCAGCAAAATTGATAACTCTATTCTCTGTGTTTAGCGCCAGAGCTCATGCGATTGACGCAAGCTCGCCATAGGCGGAGGGTGAACCAACTCCTAGGTAAGTCTAAGGAGATGCACTTCCCTTTAAAAACACATTTAAATAGATTTTCATGAAATAGATTCAAGTGTCGCCGCACAACCTACACATCGCAGCATAAATGCTCCTCATAAACTATTTTATTATTAAACGAAAAAAATAGGGCTGTCAAATGATTAATCGTGATTAATCACATCCAAAATAATAGTTTTTTTTACATAATATATGTGGGTGCACTGTGTATAATTATTTTATATATATAAATACACACACATGCTTGTATATATTTAAGAAATATTTTCATGTATATACTGTATATAGATTTATATATAATTTATATTATATATAAATATAAATATTTGATATATAAATAATATTTTTTTCTTAAATATACATGCATATGTGTGTATTTATATATATACAAAATAATTATACACAGTGCACCCACATATATTATGTAAAAAAAACTTTTATTTTGGATGTGATTAATCGTGATTAATCATTTGACAGCCCTAGAAAAAAGCAAGCATACTGTATGCGGGATTTGGTATGGCAGAAAGCATGGAAAGAGGGCTTCCTTTTTATCCACTGAAAAGCTGTCACTCATCTTAGTTCATTGCGATCTCCCAAAGTTCCCTTATAATCAATGAAGCTGACTGCACAATGAATCTCTTATTTACATAATTGTTTGTTATAAAGAGAGGATTTGCGAGCGTGCAGAACTCAGAATCACTCACCAGAGATTTTGTTCAGTGCTAACTTAAACACCTCTGATTGGCCATTGTGTTCAAGAAATCAACAGATATGTTTGTGATTGGCTACATTGTTCAATGCTGCAAAAACATGTTGTAAATAGAAACCTTTGATGTTCTCCAGAGTGCAAACACAGATACGCACTGGATCGTTCGCCAAATATGTTTTGCCAATACGCTATTATCACAAAGAAAAGCTGGCCATGACTGCAGATCTGTTTTCTTTTCTTTATAAAAGCAGAAGCAGCAGCGGTTTGACTGAGAAAAGTCCACGCTTTGATGTACCAACTGCTTTGACACGATTATCAGGTTAACTGTGCAAGGGCTCTTGAGTGTCTAAATTTGCACAGTGTACGCCCAGCTTAAGATTTAGTACTAAGATCTCTCTTATAATACACAAGAGAGACAGGCTTCATTGCATTCATTCTGTTATTGTCCTGTGTTACCTCTGGTTCTCCTGAATCCAGATTAGTCTGGATCAGAATCTTGCCAATACGGACGTCTTTCCACACAGCTCTCAGTGCAGGCTCCATGGTCTCACCTGCCCGAAGAATGGACACACCTGTGATCTAGAAATCATGAAGACAGGTGCTGCTACAAAAACCAAGATGATTCCAATCAAGTAAGAAATGTTCAAATACTGAAAATGAACATGTCAGACACACAAATTTACCCCTTTCCCAGTAAATCTGCGCCCCTTATACTCTTGACCTTGTGGTGTTTGGATGGTACAGGCCTGTAAAAAGGACAGATATTTTTGTGATGACACACATTATACAGCTGAGAAGTTTTTTTTTTGCTCTGCATTCATTAAGAGGGGTGACAACAGGTCAGCAAAAGAGAAACATAAGCAAAATATGTATATTAAGGTGGTTAATGTCATAGATAACATTAATATTATTGATAAACCATATATTTATAGGTTATTATTTATTTAAAAAAAATGTATAATTGGGACTTTCAAAATTACAGGGAAATGAATTGGGATTAACTAAAAATAATGAAAAATAATACGATTAGTCTTGCCGATTAATTAGCTGGCATATATTGTCATTAATTCAATCAAAAGTTTTATTGATGTATATGTGTGATTATTAGCGCTTAACTTGATTAATTAACTGGCATATCATGTAATTAATTAAAAAAAAAATTATTGACAAGCGTGATCAATTGTGATTGAGTTGAGTGATTAACTGGCTTATCATTTAATTAATCAGAATCAAATTTTTATTGATATATGTGTGACTAATTGATATTCATTTTATTTGAATTAACTCTAGTACAATATTATTACATATTACAATACATTGCATATATGTGTGGGTCAATTCATACCGGTGACAAATTCCTTGTTTGTTTTGCATACTTAGTTAATAAAGTTAGTTCAGTTGAAGATTCAAATTCAATTGGCATATACATTTTTATTGACATACGTGTGGTTATAAGCAATTAATTTGATGAATTAACTGTCATGTAACAGGTCATGTAATTCACATTTTTAATTGAGCACTGGGTATAATTTAAATCACAGTAGATTCAGCTTTGATCGCACAACAATATCACATACACCCACACACCTTGGAGGGTAAGAAAGACAGCGCGTGTTCAATCAGCAGCCGCATCAGTCTCTTTGAGTAGAAGATGAACTCGTCACGGCTGGTGTCTTTGTTCCTAAAAAAACAAACAGAAAAATTGAGGAGGTGTGCATAAGAGACGCAGAGAAAAGGGTGATGCAGGCCAGTGAGTCATTAGCCTGATTCACACATGTGAGGAATTCTGAATGGCACGCGCAACAGATGAATGGATTTCAAAAACACATTTCAACAACAAGCATCAACTTCTTAAAGTAGGCTAATCTTTTGATATGATTCATATGAAACTCACCTTATGATGGTGTGGAGACCTCGGACCTGTGGTGTGCTTTCCAACACACTGAGAGTCTGAGGGAGAGGCTGGGACTGCTGGGCCGTGGCCAGGAGTGCCCTGTGTGTGCGCGTGTGCATATGAAAGAGAAGAGATATGAAGCAGATCAGCACTTTCACAGATAAAAAGATGCCATTTGTACACCTCAACATAACTTTTCTAACAATGATTGCAACACTAAAGGAGCTATTATGGGTCGTTTGCATGTTCATACACACACATAGACTATAGTCCTATATAGGTATATATATAAAAGAGTAAAAAGCATGATTAAACAGCTTCTACCTGACACTAATCTCACGCTGCCGAGAGAATGCATGCAACAGAACAGAGATGAAAGATCAGTGAAAAACAGTGAATGAGAAAGAGTTAGCAGGCTGATAAGTACTTCTTTGATAACTGTTTACTTCATTGTCCCTAACTGTATAAAATACAAAAAATAGAAGTTGCAGAACTTCTTTTCACAGACAGAGGGCGCCGTTTCTGCATTTAACATGGAAAATGCCCCCTCAGATTTTGAGGTGATATTGGAAAAAAAAAAACCTGCACAGCTACACTAAAACATGTCAGTTTTACATGATAAACACTAAGTTGTTAAAAAGGGTTTTGTTTTTCTTTTTCGTTTAACATGTCTTTTCTAGGGCAGACTACCCTCTTTGGCTGGAACATTGGATAAGATTACTTCACAGGACACATTTTCCCACAATGCCCCTTTTCACCCACCTCTTCTAGCTGGCTGTGAACATGCTGAACGATCAGGTCAATGGCCACCATGTTACCCCCACCTGTGTTTGCAGGAGAAAAGTGAATAATTGTAACATCTGTATTCAAAAGGCAATGATAACTGCAATTATACACTGCAGGAAATAAATATTAACTCACCACGTGGCACTACAATGTCTGCAAGTCGCATGGTGGGTTCTATGTACTGCTCAAAGGCTGGTTTTACAAACTTATTGTATTGTTTAATCACTCCCTCAATGTCACGTCCTCTCTCTGTGATGTCCCTCCTCAGCCGCCGTACCAGCCGAATATCCGAATCTGTATCTACAAAAACCTTCATATCCATCAGCTGCAAAAAAAAAACATAAGATGCCTGAAGAAATATTAAGTTTTCAGTTGTAGGATATAAGGAAAGAGATATTTTCACTCAGAGCAAAATTGAGTCATCATATATTTAGTACTCAATATTCTCTGAAAAAAAAATGTAGGCCTACATTTGAAATGCTTATACCTGCAAAATGTTAATTTTGTAAGCTTTTTGGAATATACTAGCATATAGATGAGCTAAAACCTAATCAATATGTACTAAAAGCCACAAAAGACAAATGTTCATTTCATGGCTCTTTAAGATGGATCTGTGATAAATGGTCCCTCATCATCTTCCTTACCTCGTCACAAAAACATTGTTATCACTTACTTATTCTTTGAATTTTTATCAGCATTTAAACATTCAGAAACTGAAACATTTCACAATACCTGCAAGAGCTCTTTGTCTGCAAAGGACAAGATGCCTTCAAAGATAATGACGCTGGCACCATAGACGTTTTTCTGGAAGAGGGATGAAAAAGTAAACACCATCAAACAACTGAAATCTTTTGCTGTATCTGTATCCTTGGCATCTGGAAAATATATGAAACATCTGCCACACACACTCACCCAGTCTTTCTGGCGTCCATGTGTAGTGAAGTCATACACTGGGATTTTTACACTTTTCCCCTGTTTAAGTTTCCGCAGAGTGCTCTCAAGCAGCTCAAAGTCGAAAGCTCCCGGATGGTCAAAGTTATAGTCGTTCTTGGCTGCTAGAGCTTGTTCCTCTCGAGACAGGACCTGCAGATGGGTAACATAAAAGGTTGCATGTTTGATCACTGGTGGGGGCGCCACAGACACAGGAAAGATCACAATCCTGACCTATCACCATATGTGCTTTAACATATTCATATTTTAATCACGCCAACCATGGCATCTGGGCCGGCTGTTGGTAGTATGTGTAAAAAGGGTTACATAAAATTTTAAAAAGTTTAGATTAGTTTGCCCAAATATGAAAATTCTGTCATTCATGTGAAACCATGTTGTGTTTCAAGGAACACAAAAAAGAAAAAAAAGAAAAAGAAAAAACATACAGCGTGACCAGTGTAGCCTAATTCCTGAACAAAGTCAATATATTTTAGTCAATAAAGCCAGCATTTTTTTTTAAAAGTTGCCAGCCACTGCTAGCATTTTTCACAAATTCACAAAATTTTCATGCCCCCCAGAATATTTTGTTGTATGAATATCTGAACATGCAATATATCAAGAGAAAGAACAGAGCTTCTGCTTTAAAAAACAAAACAAAAAAACTTTCATTATAGCTTAATGCATTCTTTTTTTATCAACAGTTGAATGTCAGTAAGTTTCATAAAAAAAAGCAACATTTTGAGCAAAAAGCTGAGAAAAACAAACAAAAAAAAAAAAATCTCAAGACTATTTGCTCAGTGATCAAAACATAGATGGAGTAGATCGAGTCGCAACGACCTTATGCACCAGAGAAACGAGGGCGCCGCCATCTTTAGAATATTGTCTTTGAACTTCCGTTTTTGCGGTCGCTCTGTATATTTCTATGGCATCGCTGTCCAGGACAGGAGTAATTAGCTGGTGAAGTTGATTTACTTATTGTAGAGTTAACGAAAGTTATCATGAGCATTGTAGTGTTTATGATTTAGCATTGTAAAGCATATGTCTTAACAAATGGACCTTGGGAATTTTTCATTCATAACTACGCAAGATCGCTGTGAAAATACAGACCGGAAGTCAAAAGACAATGAGCTCAGCGCGGAAAAGGGGCGTGGTCTATAGTCTATAGCTTGTGCTGGCTCGACATTTCATTCAACATTAGGCAGTTTTGATTTATATGCTGTTTAATGTTGATAATCGCTTTATTTTACATATGCATCTGCTCCGCTTACATAAGCTTTTTGCATAAGTCTTTTGATCAGGGGATTCAGTACTCTTTCAGAAGATATGTAATTTCCTGAGTTGTCTCATAAATGGGGGAAATTTCCATCATTGGCGGGGAAAGAATTAAGAGACCGTTCTTTTAGATAATCTTGAGTAAATTATGACAGATATTTTAATTTTTGGACAAACTTCATTAAAAATAAGTGGATACATGCAGCCTTGCTGAACAATGAACAAACAAATCTCCACAGTGGCCATTTTGATTTTATATATGTGCAAATCAAATGTGACAGGCTGATCTGTTTAGACTAGAGTGTCAGTCATTAGACTGCAGTGTGTTTGTGTGGTCATGTGTTGGAACAAACGGATTCACACAGAGATAAAGGAAGGAGAGGGATTACAGAGACTTTCAGAAGCATTTGACTTACCAGATTTATTTACATGGTGGTCCAATCGCTCATTCAGATCTCACACTCAAACAAACACACACAGATGACCAAACTTCTTTCTCATAAACACAAACACCTCACCTTATAAAATGAGTCCATAGATAGTAAAACAACCCAAGGAACGTCCAGAGCTTCAATGATTTTATTGGCTACAGTAGTTTTTCCAGAGGCACTGCCTCCACACAGACCTGTAACAACATTATTACTTATTTAGACTTTCTGATTTAGTATTTAAGTTCAAACCTTCAAGAAAACCTAATAGGGAACAAGCTGAGCCAATATTGAAAGGCTTTTAAATATCTCTATTTAAATTATCAACAGGAAGTCAAGTTTCTGTTCACTCTTGTTTCCATCTACTCGTACCAATGACAAAGGCCTCTTTAAACTGGGCTCCATGTTCGTTGTACCAGGGCGGTCTGCCGGCTGTGTAGATGGTACGAGTGCCGGTGCGAAGCAGTGGAGGTTCTGTTTTACCCAGAGTGCCGCTCTTCCTGCGAGAGGTGCTGACCGCGGGGAGGAGCCTGTCCAGAGAATCTTCACCACTCCCACTAGACCAAAAAAAGAGAATTATTCTATTATAAAATACATTCAACATGCAGAAACAAGACATTTAGCGATTTATTTCTCAAAAAATGTTTCTCTGTGGTTCTATAAAAGCTTTGCTCTGTCTGAACAAACCCAACACAGCAACAGCAGGTCAACCAATGGGGTGAGGTTGGGGCGGGGCAATCTCTTTGTCCAACCAGTGGGATACAGGAAGAGTGTTTGGGAAACATTTTTGACACCAGTTAGTACTATTCTTTTTCCTGCTCCTGGTGAAGGACATAAAATACAACCTTACCCTTTCATTTGAGTCTACAAAAATTATTTATACAAAATATGTATTCTGTACCCTCAACAACAAAGCATGTACCACATAACTAAATAAAAGTTGTTGCAATATCGGGCATGTAATTCTTCAGTGTTCTTTTTTGCCACAAATCAAGACGTTTATTATTTAATAAAGACATATTTTATAACTTGGTTGATTTCTATAATATAAATGACAAAAGCAATTCTAGTAGTGGGAAGTTCGGATCATTTTACTGACTCGGATCTTTGAGTCTCGTTCAGCAAAATGAACGAATCTTTTTTCGAGTCATTTCGTTCATTTCGTTCATTTCAGCATAATATAATTAAAATGGCATGTTAAATATCCCAACACATCTAGAACTTACGAAAATGTTGATTACATTTGTAAAAATAATAAAAATAAATTATAGGGTAATGCAGCCAAAGCCAAATTATAAGAAACCGACATTTTTATGAATTGATTACTTGTTGGGTTTTAAGTTCAGGCTATTGCAGTCTGATTCTGTTAGTTCACCTCACCTCCTCATCCGAGACGTTCTTTCCTTTGCAACTTCATATTTATCAGGTTTGTTCTCCTCCTCTTGTGTCTCGAGACGTTAGTTGTCGACTCGTCAGTGTCTGACTCTGATCTGCGCTGTCTGCTGGGCCGTGCCGTGTGTGATACAGCAGGGCCGGAAAGAGTAATGATTAGTTCATCTTTCGAGTCTCGAGTTCGGGTTCGGCCGGGTCCGAGTCTTTCGTTCTTCCTGTCAGTCCCATAGAGGTTATGCTGTCAGTACCGGAAAGAGTAATGATTAGTTCATCTTTCGAGTCTCGAGTTCGGGTTCGGCCGGGTCCGAGTCTTTCGTTCTTCCTGTCAGTCCCATAGAGGCTATGCTGTCAGTACCGGAAAGAGTAATGATTAGTTCATTTTCTTCGAGTCTTTGGGTTTGAGTCCTTCGTTCTTTTGTCACGTGACCGCTGGTATCTCGCATCAAATACAATATTAGATTCGTATTATTGACTGCGTCTGAATGTATATTGTTTTATATTTAGGAATTAAAATACAAAATATGTGAAATAAACATTATCTGAAAAATAAAAGTTCCATCTTATTATTGTCCCTGTCCGTTTCTTTAAATGTTTCTTGTGCATCTGTGGTGTGTAGGGTTGCCACCTTCAATACAAAAAAATAAGGGACGCCTGCCGGCGGCCGCAGCGGGGGCCAAAGCCCTCAGGGCCACAATGACCACAGGCCCGACGGTATGCCAATGGTATCATAACTCAAAACATATTTTTCAGGAAAGTAATAAGATCATACCAATGGACATTATAATAAGCTATCTGCTATTGAAATCATTGTGAATAAATCACTCTCTATCACAAACAACGTTAACAAAGTGTGACAATGAGATTACAAAAAAAATGGCCTTTCGTCGGAGTTGTATGTGAGATGTTAACTTATTAACTTATTAAATTAACAGATCCATAACTTATTCACTATAAATTAAACAAATGTGTTGATACTCAAACAAATACTAAATTTGATTGGAAAAAACTATGACTTTAGCAAAGGATCTTGAACATCAAAAACATCAGTAGACCAGTAGTACTGTGCAGTATTGGACTATAGGCGTTAAGTGTACTTGTCACTCCATGCAGCACTGAGTAGCTGTTTCTTTCAAACATGTAACACCATCCAAACAGTGATACCACACATAAATAACCTATAATCTACAAACATTTCTAAATTTAATTATAACACTATTTTTATTATTGGTAAGAAAATCTATTTATGTATTTATTTATTTATGTATTCAGACCTATTGACCTATTCTCTAGATTTGTTAAGCATAAGTCATTTTCTTCACACATGCACATTTTTATTATTAAATATGTAGGCCTATTAAATATCTCTCTCTCTTATTTAAAAAATGCATGTGTCTGACTACCTTAACTATAATAAACAAATCATACCATAATGTATGGATATAATTCATTTACATTGAAACATTATTTCTTAGCAAATGGGCATAGGGTATGGAGCATATGAAAACGTAATCAATCAGAACATTATTGAGCTGATTAAAAAACTGTCATTACACTATGACTATCTGCTTCGGGAGATCCTTAACGTATGAAGAACTGTGAGACGGTGCTTTGATTTCTCTAAGCTAGCATTGCTATCAACTCTCTGCCAAAAGACCCGCCCTCCTCTGACTCTGATTGGCCCTGAACCTGATGTTATTAAACAAACCAATCAAACCAACAATGGCAGCGAGTATTACCCAATCAAGGGTAGAATAGGACGAGTCTTCACAGAATGCGGGTGTTATGATTTGCATGTGATGATGCATTTAAGACAACTCGGAAATACGGGACAAACCGCGTCCCGTATTGATTCAAGACGGGACGCGCTGTTTATTTCACAAATACGGGACGATTCCGTATTTTAAGGGACGGGTGGCAACCCTAGTGGTGTGTTTTATTATATATTATACATTAATTAACTACTATTATATTATACATTAACTACGTGCTTGTTTGTAAAAAAGGTTGTGAATTAGTAGGCTATTCAATACGGTGACAAGTCACGTGACAAAAGAACGAAGGACTCAAACCCGAAGACTCAGAAGATGAACTAATCATTACTCTTTCCGGTACTGACAGCATAGCCTCTATGGGACTGACAGGAAGAACGAAAGACTCGGACCCGGCCGAACCCGAACTCGAGACTCGAAAGATGAACTAATCATTACTCTTTCCGGTACTGACAGCATAGCCTCTATGGGACTGACAGGAAGAACGAAAGACTCGGACCCGGCCGAACCCGAACTCGAGACTCGAAAGATGAACTAATCATTACTCTTTCCGGTACTGACAGCATAGCCTCTATGGGACTGACAGGAAGAACGAAAGACTCGGACCCGGCCGAACCCGAACTCGAGACTCGAAAGATGAACTAATCATTACTCTTTCCGGTACTGACAGCATAGCCTCTATGGGACTGACAGGAAGAACGAAAGACTCGGACCCGTCCCGAACCCGAACTCGAGAGAGATGAACTAATCATTTCCAGTACAGATTCAGAAACCATATGTTGCGCAATGCGCATGCGCGATCAACACAAAATGAACGAATCACTCTCTGAGACAAGTAACTCGGTAGTCCCGAGTCATATTAAAGATTCGTTCAAAATGAACGAATCGTTCATGAACGACACATCACTAAGATTCATCTCTAATGCCTTACAAAACAAACGTGAGTATGTGGGCATCATTGTTGTTGTTGTTAACCAAAACTCAAACCATTAAAAATCTTTTCAGATAACTGAAATGAGGCTAAAAGATATATATAAATATTAGATGAAAAACAAAGGAAAATGGGAAATGTTCTTGTCCAATGGTCCAAATGTTCTTGTCCATGCCTTAATTTGGCTATATCTTTGGTGTTGCATCCTTCAGGCATTTAATAATTGTTGACTTTTCAGTGCGAATTAAATCTCTTTTTTGGGCCATTTTTCCTGTAAAAGAAAACCTTCTTAATAAATATGCACATCTGAATATAAGCCGTTTTTCACTTCCAGCCCACGTTAATTTATATATTACTTATAAAGGATTATATACAGAATTAATTATAAGGATTTATGTGGTTTGGAATTGGTAAAAGTGCTTGGGGGAAAAAAACATGATCAGAATATCGACTTGCCTAATAATTATGCACGCACTGTATAAATAATATAAAAATAACACTGGTAGGTGTATGTATGAATTAATGTATAAACTATCTTGTTGTTCAATATGTCACAAGATTGATGATTAACGGAAACAAACAAGCTTTCGGTCATATAAAATCTATGTGAACTAATTTACAAAACAGCAACCAAGACATATATCCGCCATCACGTCAGTGTCATACACAACCCCGTCTTTCTCACACTTTGTATCAACCTGAGTGAGTGACTAAATCAGGCCACTAGTCACAATCGAAACAGCCAAACAACACAGAGCAAAATGGAAAGGTACTGCTGAAATTATATATGGTAAAGTAATAGCCAAAAGATATAACATCTTGGGGGGGGGGGGAATTATATTGGGTCTGAAATGTAAAAAAAAGAAAGAAAAAAAAATCAAGACTATAAACGAGATAAAATAATCAAATGTTTTCAGATGAAACTTAAGGTTTGAGAAAACAGCAGCTTCAGCACTCTTAACAATGATTTACTCTTTAAATGCATATGTCTGTTCAGATTAGTGAAAATTAGTGCTTAATTAACCTTTTAAATACTAAACAGTGCATGTAATAACGTACCCTCCATCTGTACGGAGAGCCCAGCAGCCTGATGTTCTGGCCCCTGTGTATCCGGGCAGCGTGCTCATATCAGCTTCAATATGAGCAATAAAGGTCACATTTTTATCGAAGCTCAAACAGCACACAGATAAACCAGCTAATAATAACAGATGAAGCACAAAGCCTGGGTCACGGAGAGGCCGGACATCAAACCGCTCCCAATGCACTAGCAAAAACACACGCCTGCTTAATCTGTCTCTGTTTTAGCAGAGAACCCTTGAAGTTTGAACGTTAGCTGACCACTAATGTCTTCAAGAAACCTTTTAATGGATAGAAAAACAACTTTTCTTTGTGTCTGGATACTGACTCTCTCAGTGTGTGGGCTTGATTGAATAAGAGGATCAGTTCTACAGGTGATGTGGAAAGTATTAATAGAACCAGGTGATAGAGACAGGGAGAGAGAGGGAGGACAGCTTTACTGAGAGAGGACAGCTTTACTGCTGAGAGTTCTCAGTTGGTTGTCAATTTTGTCTCAGAGGTTTCTCCTGCAATCCCTTAGGTGAAATAAAGTTATAAAGAAAGGAGACAATTGTCTAAACAATAATATAAAATGCTAAAACCTAATGAAAAGCTAAGGTAAACAATTTGTTCTTAGAAGAATTTTTTTTTTCTAGTCTCCTCTAGTATTTTCACTTAAATTCTAAAGGAGACATGTGAGTTTACTGACTTATTTTTCTCAGGAGAAAAAATATAACAAAGGGAGAGATCAGAAATGTATTTTTATGTTATTTTGCAGGGGTTCCCAAACCGGGGTTGACAAACAAAATTACCCAAAAGTATATCCAAATGTTTGGTAAAAAAAAAAAAAAAAAAAATGCTGCAAAATAAGAGTATTTTTGTTAGACACCTGAACTTATAAAATTAAAATATAACAATGTTATATAAAAAGAACCGTATAGGGTCAACTAAAACAGGCTATTGTAAAGAATTATACACCCCAATGTAATAATAACAAAAAGTCTATTTAAACGACCTCTCAAAGGTCAAATCTCGGTTGTTGATCTGTTAGGATGTGATCTCTCCATGGTGCACTAATGGGAACTCATGTAGTGTTAGGAGGGAGACCTCAGTCTAAAGTTCATTATAATAATAACGCGTCATTAGCGCGCAGCAGAAGCTTGTGAAACTGGGACAGGAGGGAAGTGGCTTAACTAACGCAATGCTGATTTAGGTTCTTATGATGATTAATTTTCTTTCATTATCAAAGCAAAGAAAAGTTGTATTTCGCTGTATGATGAATAACCGTTCTATACCATGCCAAAAATAAACAATTATTAATTGTCTCAATGTGGGTCAATAGCAACGCGTCTAGCAACGTAGGGAAGAGGAGGTAGCCTAGACCTGCGTCAAAAAAACGCACTGACGCTTTCTATTACTATAATTTAGTATATGCCTATGTTTTTAGAATAACGGATGTTTCGCAGACAGCTGTGCTCTGATACCTGTTTGAACGGCTTGAGTTTTTCCTCCTGCACTCCATCTCACACAACATTGTCCACTCAGATCCGACTCGCCATGAAGCTGGACTGGACTGTCAGCTGTTAATCCCTCGCGAAACGCATTGTGGGAAATGTAGTTTCGGCACGCTCTGTGACTAGTGTGGGTCATTATTTCTTACAATTCAGTGCCTTTTAAGTCCCAAATTCAAGTAATGGTGTTTATGATTTTAATTGTTTTAACTAAAATGTGTCTTCTTAAATGTCTGGTTTAAAAATATGGTAGAAAATAATAATTGTTTTTTTTTATATATATATTAACCTACACATTTCATCAGGCCTCAAATTGTACCTGTTCAGTATTGACATCACAATTACAGGCCCGTTCACACCAAGAACGATAACTATAAAGAAAACCATTCATATAAGCGTCCACACACACTTTAAATGCTCGCGCGGATTCTGATTGGCTGTCAGTGTTTTTATTGTTCTTTGGCTGTGATTCCAACGATATCGTTTCTCTGTGAACTCTGCTATTTTTTAATATTGAGAATATTGAAAATAGTATTTTTAGTACCTGGATGTGAACGGGCCTTTAGGCCAACTCTAAAGAATTCAACATGAAAATTATTAAGAGAATTATGGATCATTTCTGTTTAGCCTACTCTTTTTATGATGAAACAAATGCACTTTTAAAATGTAGGTTTCGTTTTTTTGAAAGGCACTGATTTGTAGGAATGACCCATATAAAACAATTATTAGAGAAAGAAAACACATTCTCTTTAAAAATGTTGATTAAAGTTGTGCAGGCTGACTTTATTTGAAATAAAAAGTGCACAAAACAGCTTGAGTGCAGCTTGTTTAGAGTAGTTATCTCTAAACTAATTCCCAAATCACACACATACTCACACAAACAAAAATAGGGGGAATGGGCTACTTGTTTCATCATGATCACAAACAACCTGTCTTGTAAAACAGCAAGAAATCTTTTGCAATGTCAAATACATATATGCACATCATTATTTACAAATTAATTTGATATTCAACATTTGTGATCAATTAGAACTAGTCTATAGCTGTGGGTCTCAACCATACAAGTATGTGTGAAAAAATGCAAATGTTTCTTTTGGTACATCATGTGAAAATGTGACATGACAATGCATTCTGAGAATGTACAATCCAGATTTAACATGATCAGCGCTGCCCGCGGGTAAAAGCACATTGTGAAATCTGAACTGTGGCTAAAAAACATTTCCCTATTTGTTTAAATGACAAAACTTTTCAACAAAGTAAAGATAATCCTTGAACTAGTTTATCATTTTTCAGTAGAAAACGGTTGCCTATAAAGTATCTTTTAAAACATCTTAAATGCCAATGCACTTCCCACAGTAGAAGAATGTTTGAGTCATGGTGTCACAACACTTAACAATCCATGTTAATGAATCAGACTCCTATCATTACTTAAAATAATACATGAGACTCTTCACAAAATAATGCAGGAATACACTTTTACAAGTTGTGCGTGTCTCAAACTGCTTTTACGTTCTCGCACTGCATCATCTTGATGTTTTGATGTGGGTTATCTGAATGGTCTCTCGTGCAAGTCCAGACTTGAGTCTATTTAGGACACAATGCAGCACGTCATCTGTTTGCCTTAACTTTACATCTGTCATCTGCAATTATCAGACACTTACAGAGCTTTGTAATTTACACAGCCTTTTGTGGCCAACATTTCAGTGTGAATGCTGTTGTCATTGTCACGTGGGGAACTCGTTTGAACGCATTTTATCTGTTCCCAGAAACAGAATCATCTTAAGTTAAAAAGCAAATGTATTGTTACAAGAAACAAATACCAGAACAGCCTATAGCCAGACACAGGAAGTCCAGTTGAGTTCAGAGTACAAATGCAAGTTTGAATCATTTAGGTTAATCTATAATGTGATTTGATTCCAGCAACTCTATCAGTACATTTTGCTTAAACAACACCACAGTCTTGACGGATACGTTTGAGGGCACGTCTGGTAAGGTCACATTCCAGCAGAAAATAGTTTGTTTTCTATGTGCAAAAGGTCTTCATACCACGGCTTTTACACGTTCTGATAGTGTTGCCAGACATCCAGGTTACTGTTGAACGTCTTGTAGACTTTAATCTAGATCTGAGTTTTTACAAAATCCAGGGAGCTTTGGTACAGCCAGCTGGGTCCACCTTCATCAGATACAAAAATGTCAGATTTCTTCTTCATTTTATGATTTTTAAAGCAGATTTGGGATAGATAAATCAAAGGGTGCACATGAAAGCTCCTTTTGTAGGTGTCATCCGAGGTGGACATCCTTTTCTTAAGCATAGTGAGGGTGTGGAGGCTGAGCTGTATAACTGAAACCTGTCCCCGTGTTCCAGTCCCTGACAGCTCCAGTCAAATGTCTCTGGCCTCAACCTGACTAGAAATATTGATGTCCCTTCAGAGTCAGTGTGGTAGAACTGCCCCACGCATGGTTAAAGCTATGACAGGTTTCCAGATAGCCCTGGAGAAGAGAGGGACAGTGAAAGAAAATGAGGGATGGAGAGAAAAAAGAATGAATGAATGAATTTAATGTGTAAAAATACCTATATATATATACACACATGGTGGACGAGAGAATCCAGGAGACAATATTTCCTTTCTGGGTTTGGGTTTTTAATATAGACTACGGTTCAAAAGTTTGGGGTCAGTAAGAAATATATATATTTTTGTAGAAACCTTTATTCAGCAAGGATGCATTAAATAGAAGGTGAGAGTAAAGACAGTTATACAGTTACAAAAATACATGTTTTTCTTTTGGACTTTCTGTTCATCAAAGCATCTTGAGGGTTTCCACAAAAATATAAAGCAGAATATTAAGTTGTCAACATAATAAGAAATGTTTCTTGAATACCAAATCAGCATATCAGAATTATTTCTGAAGGATCATGTCATGTGACACTGAAGACTGGAGTAATAACTGCTGAAAATTCAGCTGTGCCATCACAGGAATAAAATATTTTAAAATAAAGAACAGTTATTTGAAATTATAATAATATTTCACAATATTGTTGTTTTATTTTTGATCAAATAAATGCAGCCGTGGTGAGCAGAAGAGACTTCAAAAATATTTTAAAAAATCTTACCGACCCCAAAATATTGACAGGTAGTATACTTGGGACTATAAACAAGTGACTAATTTCTTATAATTTTTATTTGTCACTACTGGCCATTCATAAAATTAATAAAATCCATATTTTGAGTGCATTGATCATTTTATTTTAATGACCGCCTTCAGGTTTATGCATCTAATTTAGCTCTAATTGTGGGTAGAAACAAAAAATGCTGTCAACTTAAGTAAATATTTTTCATATATTATTTGAATCACTTTTTTGGCTAATAGTAATCCCATTAAAATAGTGAACAATACATTTTTCGTAACAACATAATAGCACTCTCACACAGTATAATTGGGTCTATATACATGAAAATATATAGGTGGCTTTATGCTTTTGGAATGATGTCCCTTTCAAGGGCATCAACATATTGTCATCAAAAAATGTAAAACCCCCTGCACTGAAGCATAACAACACTGCTAGGGAGAGATAAATAGGCACAAATACACCAAACCCCACAACTTTCATTTTTCATTATGCAACATTATCGCTTTAGGTCATGCCACCTGCTGCAGAATCTTTCTTCCTCATTTTTGCTCTTTATTCACACACACACACACACACACACCTCTGCTTAGCAGCTGTAAGTTGCGCCCTTCCTCTTGTACTTGTAGTTGTAGAACCTGCTGGAGAAGCTCTTGTCTCAGAGTCTCCTGAACCAAACCCATCCGTTCTAACTTCTCGCCATTCAGTCTCAAAAGAGCACGACCTGACAAAGACAAATTGACAGAAAGAGAGACAATTTCAGTAGGCATGAGCTCTTTGGAAACACACAAGCTCTGCAGCCTCTGCATTATGTATGCACAGTTTTGCTGGCAGCTATAAACAAGTTACAGCATTGCAAATCCCCGTAAGGTTGTTATCGCTGTGTTCCCAGTGATCTTTGCATGTGTGACTATGGTAACATGCTGTGTGGAACTGCTGCCTGAGGGCACAGGCCGCCCCAGGTTCATTTCCCACTTTGTATCCAACTGAGCCTCTCGTGCTGTGACTCTAAACACTTCAGTCCACAGCTTTGCAGAAAAACCATTATGGCTTTATTTCATCCTCATGTTTTTAACTCCCTGAATTCCTTTTCTCTCAATTTCCTTTTCTTTGGATCTCACCCAGCGTGTCTGTGATCTTGATGCTTTGTGTCCACCGAGAGAATAGAAGAACCTCATGGGTCCCTAGTGAGTGAGATCGTGTTCAAGGAGTGAGTGGGAGAAGCAGCAGCCTAAGCTGTGAGGGAGACCCTGTGACACACTCAGATATATGAGACGCATTTACAAGCTAGAATTCTTCAAACCCAACCGAAATAATGAAGGATATCAGTATGGCCAGCGAGTCTTAGCTTCGAGCTAGTGGAGAGTCATTGGTGTGGTCGAGGGGTCAAGGTTTGGTTGGTTAGTATGGCCACATTTGCCCCTGCTGGTAGATGCTGAAACTACACCATCTGGCTGCATCTTTCTGCACTGATGGCCATTCATAATTTTTCATGTATTCCAACTTAATGTTTTGGCAAACATCATACACTACTGTTCAAAAGTTTGAGGTCACCATAGCCACTTCTAAACTTTGGAACAGCTTGCCAATTCAAATCAAAACTGCCCCTACATTACCACTAATAAATCAAAGTTAAAAACATTTCTATTTGATCTGTCTTATAATCTGTGATGTGTTGCTTTACTGTTTATGCATCTGCGCCTTTGTGCCTGTCTGAATGTATGTTATGGTTATGTCTTTTACTTTTATCTTCATGTACAGCTGGTCAACAGCAGTTATTTTAATCGTGCTTTATAAATAAATTAAAATTGAATTGATTCTTTTTGGAAGCCCTTAAAATCTTGAAATTGACATTTTTTCTATGTCTTTCACAGCTCAGGCAAGTAGCTGTGCATGTTCATGTGGCGCCATCAGCTACAGAGTTGTCACAATGTTATTTTCCTAATTATGCGGAAAATGACATAGCATGTACGTCTGAAATGAATGGCTCCAGTGTCCATGAGCATATAAGGCAGATTTCTAATCTTGTACATGCGACTTTCCTGTGCTTTACATTTTTTTAGAATATTGAAAATGGAGCAGGAAAGAGTAAAGCACAGTGAACTGTAAATTCAGAGGTTGAGAATGAAATAGTACCAGTTCTTTGACAAGATACGCGTTTTTAGGAGAGTAGATGAGCATAGGTTGGCTGACCTTCAGCTAAAAGGGTAATGCTTCTGTCATACCATATGAGATTCAGTAGATGTGTTGGTGTCAGGGGATTGGTCTTACTGCTGAGTATGCAGTATCTTTAAAAAGTTTTTTTTTTTTTTTTGCAGGATCGCTACTGTGATGTGAGATTTTACACAGAATGTTACTATATGCATATGCAATTTCATATGAATAATGGCTTACATGTTACCATCATGTATAGGGATATAAATTACATACAATAGCTACAATTGTTATTTGTTTTGTTTTTGTTTTAAAGTTGGATCGCACACCTGTAATTGCGTGGTGGGAAAAGGCTTCTACGTAGGTCAAGTAGTTGTGCGGACAGTGCTTCTTCAGCCATCTGCACACGTCCTGCTGAGACCACAGAACCACTGGCCTGGAGAGACACGGCAAGGTGGGGCTGGTGTGGTAAACAGAGTACGATTCACCTGAACGTAACTGCAAGAGAAAGAAATAGAGCATGGGAAAGAGAGAGACAGAGACAGGGAAACTAATTTAAATATGCATTTCACAGAGAAGTGGAACCGAAAAACAAATCTCAAAATGTGACTGAATTGTGAGCATCCTTCTGGAGTCCTACCATGCATGAATGCAGTTTTTTATAGCACTACTAATTTGAAATCAATCTCTTGCACAGTAATAAAAAAAAAAAGAATATAAACAGATAAACAGCTCTCCCTACTAAGACCTCTGGGAAATATACATGTTTTTTTTTGTTTTTTTTTAAATAAAATAAAAAATAACACTGCTCCAAGTCATGCACTGGTAGTGATTAAGATGGATGTTTTCATCTCACGCAGCCACCTGATTGGCCGCCTGATGGGACATGGCCATGATTCTCACATCGAGCTGTATAAATGAAGGCCATTCTAGAATGATTAGCATTCGTTACAATGGCTGCGCTAGTGACATGAGCCACAATAACACTCACTTGACCTTCATCGCACACCTCCATATGATCGCAGACTAATTAGACTTATACAAAACCATCCGGCAAAGATAATTCCAGCAAATCATCCACATTTTGAGCCACAGTTTATGAGGGATTGCGTAGTGACTTACAATGTTATGATGTTGTTTAATGTGACACCAAAACGAGCATGGCAAAATGTTGTTTTCGAAAGAAATTAATGCTTTTATTTAGCAAGGACAGAATGCTATTTCAAATAAAAGCTGTTCTTTTGAACTTATTCATTAAAGAATCCTGAAAAAAATCTACCATGGTTTTCACAAACATTTTAAGCAGCATAACTGTTTTTAACATTGATAATAATAATAAGAGTTTCTTAAGCACCAAATCAGCATATCAGAATGATTTCTGAAGGATCATGTGACACTGAAGACTGGAAAAATTATGCTGAAAAATCAGATTTGCCATTACAGGAATAAACTATATAATTAAAATACATTAAAATAGAAAACATTTATATTAATTGTAATAATTCAAAAAAAAATTGGTGAGCATTAGAGTCTTATTTCAAAAACATTAAAAATCGTACCAACACCAAATCAAACTCTAATTTATAATATTATATATATATTCTATTCTACTATTTCATAATATGTTGGGTCGCCATAAATTCTGGGTCCTGAAGCAAATCTTGTTTCATAAAATAACTGTGCTTTGCATATTTTCTTCCCTTTCCTTAGTGTTCCGTTTCATTAACAGTCATTTATCCTCACACAATCACAGCCCTCCATTTTCTCACTTCGCCCTCTATTTGTTTTGTTTTTCTAAGCCATTTGCCACCATCTGTACCCCATCCCTCAAGTTCATCTTCAATTTTCTTTCTCCTTCACAGTTTTTCCCCCCATCTATCCTGCTCCCTTTCTCTCTCTTCTCCCTCAGGCAACTTTCTACTTTGTGCCTTTGCTGCGTTTGCCCTTGAGGGCAGTGGGGAATTCTTTCTTCTGCAACTGCAGGAAATCGCACACATCCATTCTTGCACATGCACATACATGTATGCATGCATGCACACATACAGGCTGAATAAGTGACTGTTCCACTCAGCTGGTTTTGGGAGGGATGCACATCTCAACTGTCTCTAATGCTCTCTGTAGGGCATAAACACAGAGAAGTCCCTCTAAGCCCTTGCAGATGAGAATATGAGACTATCAAGCATGTCAGTGAATGCATTTACATCTGCACCCATCTTTTTTAACTACCTGCTCTCACAGTAAACCATGAACATACAATTTTTTTGTGGCTTATATATGGATTTGATTAAGCAGCTGTCAAACTTTCTCTGTTTTAATGCCAATAAGATTATCTCTTGAATTGCACTCTATGACATTCGAATGAGTCTTAAGAGAGGAACACTTGAAGGTACGATATTAATTATTTATAGTATGATTTCCATATTCACATAGACCCCAGAGAATCAGTGTGAGCACAATAAAGAAAAAGAAAAACAAACCCAAACAATCAAAAATGGCCCCCAGTGCACAAATGCATACATAATAGTCACTTTTTTTCTTTTTTTTTACTACAAATAGTCAACTTGAGTTCTTCATTTTTTCTTTGATCTTTCTGAGATGGCATGGCTGCGGAAAGTGGCGTGTCTTGGCAAAGTTTATAGACAATAACAAGAGCACTGATGAAAGTGAGAAAACATTTGTGATAAAAGTGACATGTTTTTCTATTTTCTTTTCTTCTTTGTTAACTTTTTTTCTGGGATGAGCACACTGTGTGGTGAGATGTCAGTAAGTCTTTTATATACTGACATACACAAAACTGCATTGTTAAGAAAAATACTAACAAGAATAGCTGATATGAACAAAGCATTTGTGTATGAAGCCATTAGGGGAAGAGATCAAACAGAGCTGTTTCTCTGTCCTGTCACTGCAGGGTAAGGCTAACAAGGTTCACCATTCATTAACGACGGTTTAAATGAAGGCCAAAAAAGTGCAGAGGTTAGTTAGAATCTCATCAGCTCCTGTTTGGGGTTTTCATGAGGAATAAATTAACATAGACGTCTGATCACACCAAGCTTTTGATCATGGATTCACTTTTTGGAAAATCAAAGGCAAACACTCTGAACCTTTGCACTCTGATCCGGTTCAGCCAAATCCAACAAATTTAAACCCAAGTTCAGAAGATTCACCTTAAGTCTGGTGTTCCTCTTCCTAACAATTGCAAGATTTGTGAACGATTTAGATATTGTACTGGTGTTTGAGATTTGAAATAAAAATAGATGAGACAATAAAAACAGATGAAAGATTTTGCCATGTTTATGGATTAAATAATATTAGTATATAATATATATAGTATATATATATATATATATATATATATATATATATATATACCGTTCAAAAGGTCAATAGATATTTTTTTAAATAATACTTTTATTCAGCAGGGACAGATTATATTGATCAAAAGTGACAGTACAGGCATTTATAATGTTATAAAAGATTTCAATTTCAAATAAATGCTGTTCTTTTGAAATTTCTATTCAATCAAAGAATCCTGAAAAATGTATCAGTTTCCCCAAAAGCCTTTTTCATTGTGTAATAATAAATGTTTCTTGAGCAGCAATTTAAAATGACTTCTTAAGGATCGTGTGACACTGAAGACTGGAGATGCTGAAAATTCAGCTTTGCCATCACAGGAATACATTACAATTAAAAAATATTTTACAAAAAAAACAACAAGTTAATTTGAATTGTAATATTATTTCACAATATTACAGTATTTTACTGTATTTTTGGTCAATTAAATGCAGCCTTGGAGATAATCCTTTTTAAAACGACATAGTTTAATTCCTATTTAATCCACTAAACACAAAATGTCCAAATGAACAGCACCTCTGCTAAGTTCACAGAGGAGATAAAAAACTAATTTAGCACTAGAAAAAGAGAAATGGAAAAGAAAATGGAAATGACCACAGAACACTGGATTTGCCTTAAGTAATTACTTTTGAATACTATTAATTAAAGGCAGAACACAAACTCATTAAGATAACATTATCTATCTATCTCAGTCTAACGAAATCAGGTTTGGGTCTAATTATTATCTGCAAACCTGTTGTAAACTCTAAGAGAAGTCTAATTGTGCGGGTGAGACTGACTTTGACCCACAAAGCTCTGCACACCCGACTAGAGGCACTTGCTTCATTAATATGCTAATGCAGAAGATCAAATGAAGTTAAAAACACACATTACGACCCATAAAGCTGCTCACAGTGCTCAAATCAGCAGTGCCCATGTGACCTGAGGCCCACAAGGCTTTTTAAAGCCATTCTGTGGAGAGTGTTCTCTCTCTTCAGTGCCCTCTGGCCTAACAGCATAACTCGTTCACTTCAAACTAAAGCTTTTAGATGGCTGGAAAGAGAGAGGAAGCCTTTTGTTGCCAGTCTGCCCTCCTCCACCTTTTTTAATGCACAGGTTTTCTGAGAAAGTGCATTTCTGAGAAACATTTTTCACACTATTAATAATGCAACAACCGACTGCCATACATTATATTTGCACACAAATTCTCTAATCACACCTTTTAAGGGACTGTTCGTTTTTTATTTAAGGGGCTACCGGAGCAGTTTTGAGATCTATAGTCAAAATAGACTTGACCCCCCCTTTGCCAGCAATACATTTTTCTATGACCCTCCAAAATGATTGGGAAAAAAGGCATGACCCTCCACGATAATTTATTGATTACTTCTGTACTGGTTTGCGCTTGGCAAAGATGTTCAGATATCTCTATGCCTAGTAGACCTGGGGGGGATACTGAGAGAGCTACATAGACCTACATGGAAAAATATGCACCAAACAAGCCACTTTGAAATGTTGCTGTTTTCATGAATACAAAAGTTGGGTGACCCTCCCCCTAGACTAAAAAAAGTTGGATGACCCTCCCCTCAACAAAGAATAAAAAGACATGACCCTCCCCTATTTTCCTCCGGTGGTCCATTCCATAAATACCGAACGGTCCCTAATTACTATGGAAAATCTGAAATCTGCATTGCATTATCTCTGCTGTATAATAACTAGTTTTAACAGCCTACTTCCCTATTTTTCACAGCTGTCAAATTCCTTTGCACTGCAAATAGTGAAGTTACTAGTTTGTCTATTCATATGACTCATGAATATGGTAATCAGCAATAGCAACATTTTTGAGTAGCTTGCCCAACACTGGTCTTTTTTTACAATGTCCTCTTTTGATCAATTACAATATCATGTGAAAATGCAGTAGTAAGAGCTTGAAAGAGCTTCGGTTTTGACACTTAAGTAATATTAATGAGATGGTACAAAATGCTGATAATTTGAAGCTGATACAGGGAATATATAATAAAATGCTTGGCTTTGTTCTTATCTTTATTATTTAATCAGAAGAAGAGGACTCGTGTCTTTCTCACGCTCAATGTAGACTCATATTCAGATGGACTGAGATGTTCGGTAAATATTTCCTTCTTGGTCTCACCTGCAGTCCCTCAGTTCCAGGCTGCTGCAGTAGTTTGACCGTTCGACCACCCGCTGTTTTGCGGCCGTGCCCCTCATGCCAGGTAAGGTTTCCACCTGCACAACGACTCAATTGGTACTTAAAATCCTCTGGAAGAGCCCTGTACTCCACCGCAGGGCGGCAGAAGGTAAAACTGGAGGCCGCTGCAATACAAAAAGAGAGATTTGGCATTCATTTAGACATATACATTCCATCCTTCTCACTTGTGTTTTCATTTCCCCCTTCAGAAAGACACAGACCACTGAGATGTACAGCTTGCCTTGTGGGAGATTCAATGTTTACATTAATCGAAAATGCTGTGGTTACAGGTCAGTTCAAGGACTGGGTTTGTCATTAGGGGTTTTGGTGGTTAAGAAAGAGTTTAGGCTCAAGTAAAAGCTAAGCCTCGACAAAAAGAAATGTTTGAAAGACCCGTATCTGCTGCGGCTGACTGGGCAGCTTGGATTCTTCCCAAAATAATACCTAAAGATACTAGTCAGCAAAGTTAATGGGAAAATTATGCATTAGAGTGTCAGAGGGCGATAAACCAGCAGAGCATTGGTAGCCCGTGGGGTAATCTAATGAAAAGCATATGAGGCTCCAGATTTCCAGGAAGGAAAACTTTAAGTGCTGCTAAATACCGAACGACTCGGAAACATAAGTTCTTGCTGAGCTAGACAAAACTAGCATTTGCAATTCATGATACAATTAACTGAAAACTTTTGTTGAGACCTTTCTGGTACAAAACATGCTTTAAAATACTTACTTACCCTCATGTTGTTCCAACCCTTTCTTTCTTTTGAAACAAAACAAGATCATTTAAAGAATGAATGTTTCAAATTAATTTTTTTGAAAAATGCCAGTGTTGTTTTTGGACTTTCAGTCAAAACAGGACTTTCCACTGACTTTCAGTATATAGATAAAAAAAATAAAAATTAAACCAGTTGAAATAATCTGCTAAATATCTTTGTTTGTGTTCCAAATGTGTACATTTATTTAGCTGTGAGTATAAGACTGTGAAAATGTGCATATTTCAAAAAGCAATACAGCAGACCAGCACATCATAGTTTCGCTCGACTGGTGACTGTAAATGAGTCGGTGGGCAGCCTAAGCAGATTTTCTCCCACAAGCTGCGAGAGGCCAGTGCATTAACAGACAAAGACAGATACAGTGTGGGTATGTGCTCATTAAAACCTCACGCTTCTAATCACCACCTTAGTCTTAGCACAAACGAGTACAATCAGTCATCTCCGCGCATGGCAGTGTGCGTGTGATGGTATTATATCTGCATGTGCGTGTGTGCATAAGCACGAGTTGATGAGAGGGAAAGACTATAAGTTTGTGTGTGTGTGTGTGTGTGTGTGTGTGTGTTTGAAAGTGGAGGCCAGGATGAGATAAAAGGGATGTCTTTTGCTCTCGTTCCCTGCAGCCTCGCAGGCGGCTACAAAGGCTGTCCTCATCAAGAGTGTATGGGGGATGCCTGCCTGTATGAATGCATTTGGGATGGAGTCAGAGTTGAACAGTCTTTCATCGCACTGCCTCTGAAGCAGACATTAGAGAGATGTCGCATACTGTGGCTGGGGGGTGAAAACACGTCAAGGCCTGTTAGTCTTGGACAGATGTTGCTCTTATTTGCTATGTTTGTGTGCAAAAAGATGTGCTCCTAAATCTAGAACAACAGTATCTCCTCTTGAAAGCTTACAATAAAGGGGAAATAGAAAAGTCTGCAGCAGAGTTTTTATATTACTGTTCAAAAGTTTGGGGGTCGGTAAGATTTTTTTATGGTTTTGAAAGAAGTCTCTTATCCTCATCAAGGCAGCATATATTTTGAAATATTTTTACAAATTAAAATAACTGTTTTCTAATGTATTTTGAAATGTATTTTATTCCTGTGATGGCAAGTTGAATTTTCAGTCTTTAGTGTCACACGATCCTTCAGAAATCATTCTAATTTGCTGATTTGGTGCTAAAGAAAGATTTCTTATTATTATGAATGCTGAAATCACTTGTGTTGCTAACCCATATATTCATATGATAATTTTTTTCAGGATTCGTTGATGAATATAAAGTTCAAAAGAAAAGTATTTATTTGAAAAATATTTTTTGTAACATGTATGACTAATGTCCCTTTTAATTAATTTAATATGACCTTGCTGAATAAAAGTATTCATTTTTGAATGACATAGTGAATATTATTGTATCGAAAAGCATGTCTATGTTCAAGGCCATAAACAACTTAAATAATGATTAATCTAAGATGAATATTCAGATTAGTGTTAGGTTTTCCAGTGTCTGAATCGTAAAAGAAAAATTTATTTTAAAAATTATCTTTTTTTAATTCTGTAAAAACACTAAATGAGCAACTTAGCAAAATGCTCATGTTACTATTTTCCATACTATAAAAGTAAAAGGTGAAGAGTCGTTGTCAAGCTGCAAAAAAGCACCATATATGTACTCAATATGACTTTGTAGCACTATATTCTAAATCTTCTGAAGTCATTTGATATGTTTGTATGAGGAGCAGACCGAAATTTAACTTTTATTGCATCTTTATTTTTTGGTCATTCTATAAGCTTGAAATAGCACTGATCACCATTTATATTCATTATATGGAAAAAGCACCATCAATTTGTGGTCTACCAAAGAAATGTGTTCAGAATGACAAACTTTTAGTTGAATTTTTCCTTCAATCTTGAATATGTGGTTACAGCCACACTTCATGGTGCCAATATGAAAGAGCAACCAACCAAAAACAAATCTCTAAATTCATATTATATTACAGATCCATCATCCATGACAGCGCTTCATTCCCGAAAGCACAAGCACATAATTAAATCCAGGCCAAGGTGTTTTTGTCACCTGCTGCACCCACTGGACTGAACTAACGATGTGCTCTCTTGTGAGAGCCAAACAAGTTTGCCAAAGATCTCTGAACAGCATGAGGGGTTTGAACTTGGGAAGGGAGTGAAACACAACATCTGTGTGAAGTAATGAGCTACAGACCGAACGAGAGAGAGAGAGAGAGAGAGAGAGAGAGAGAGAGAGAGAGAGAGAGAGAGAGAGAGAGAGAGAGAGAGAGAGAGAGAGAGAGAGAGAGAGAGAGAGAGAGAGAGAGAGAGAGAGAGAGAGAGAGAGAGAGAGAGAGAGAGAGAGAGAGAGAGAGAGAGAGAGATGTGGAGATAGCGGCTTCAGATCTGTTTAGCCTCATTATCTATGCAGAATGCAGATGAATGCAAAAATGAATATGCAAGCCATCCTTAAACTGGTGTATGACACAAACCGCTCAGCAGGTCACTGGTTTATCAGAAAAGTATAGATACTCAGTTTCAATGAGATCTCAGACTGGAAAAAGAAAGAAGATTGGGGTTTTCTTTTGGGGTTTTGAAGGACATGTTGAGACGTGGATTCTCGAGCCGAATTTTGTCAATGAGAAGCCACGATTAGCCTGTGTCAACACCTTTCAATTTACACAACCAAAACTACAAAACGTTCACAGTAACAGATAATAGTTTACTCAAACTTCACAAAATGTCAAATGAATTATTTTGCCTTTTTACGCTTATACTAGATAGCCGGGTAAATAAAAATAATATTGCTTGCAAATGACTCAAATTCTTTTGAACTGATTCATATTAAAAGGCTGACACTGCACACACACTAAAGCCCCCCAAAATGAATGAGGCATCATACACACATTAATTATCAGACAGTCAACCTACTTAATATTTTAAAACTAACCATGTCACTGTGTACAAGGCTTTTCTACCCTGAGTAGATATGCCTTATATTTATATTACATTCAAATTATAGCATATAGGCTATATGAAATATACAACCATATAATCAGGAAATTAAAGAGAAATTACATTTAAAATGTATTATGGGACAACTGATACCTCGAGTCATCTCTAGCTTGCAACGTGCCATGCCATCTAACTACTACAATCATCTTTTTGATGAAAATAAAACTAAATAATTACCGTCTACTGCCATGTCAACAACCCAGACTCTGCGACAATGCTCCTGTTAGATTAAAAGTTGCGAGCTGAAGAGTCCCATTTCCACCCTGGGCGCACTGAAAGGTGTTTCTTCAGCAGGTAGCCTACATCCAGTGTGTAGTGATCGACTCGCGCTTCACAATGTAAAATATGAGAGTAGGCTACACATGTCGCATGCTGCACACATTCTCACGCTGACGCCTCCCCACGCGCACTGTTCACCTCAACCACCTCTGTTATGAAGCTTTTCATATTTTGAGAAGAAAATTCTACAATAAATATATAAATAAATAAATAAATAATTAATCTTTATTAAATAATGTATGCTATATATTTAAAATATATTATCTATGTACAAATAGTAGGCTATGCTATTATTTTTTAATGCACGCAACAAATACAACCGGCTTTGCTAAATTGCCTCTTAAATCTACAATTAAAAAAAAAGAAAGTAGCCTAATTAAAAATGTGTAGTTTATCTGTAAACCCTTTTGCTTGGTGTATTAGGTTATTTCTAATCGTTATATTTGTCACCAAAGGGGTGTTTCGTGAGAAACTGTCGTCTGATTCTCTCTCACGTCCCAGTGGCAGCAGGCAAGCCTGTAATTAGTCTGTGAACTTCAGCAAGCACGATATGGGGATGGATTTCTGTGACCCATCGGCAAATTGTTTAAAATCATTCTATTGTTCGTTTATTGACTTTATAGAGTCATTGCCCGTGCTATTAGGCTACTGTAGCATAATGTTTATGAAACGATTTGAAAATGAACCCTAAAACCCTCAAAATGCATGATATTTTGTCCTTGCACTTTAAACACTAGAGGGAGGCATTTCACCTCAATTCTCTCAGCAGATCTTCAACAAGACCTCACCTGACTGAGTTCAGCTGCTCGGTGTGCGGCTGTCCCTATGGGCGGTCCTGACTCTGACTGAGCTCCACACGTTTCAGGACACACAAGCCAGGCCGGAAGTTAAAAACGAACCATATATGGTTTAGAGCGGGTCTTATTGAGTCGCGCTATACTTTTTGGAAGTATGACCAACACAATAATTTTCACCAGAAAATGTCATTTGAACAAGTAACATCCACTTTTGTTCTTACCAACAAAGTGGAAAAAAAGCATTCCAGTAAATCGCGCTGATTAAATCTAACGATCGTTTATCATCACGTCAAACAGTGCAAATTATAGCCTACTTTGTTCTCAAATTGTTAATGTTAACAACATCAGCATTGCGTGACTAGGCCTACATTTAATGCCCTTCCGATATTATCCTTGTTTTCGCATGGGCCCGGTTGCAGTCTCTTTTTTTCTGCAGCCAAGTCCGAACTAAGTCTTTTGTTTTGCATTTTACAATGGGTGAATCTCCAATTGTCACTGGTGATTGTCGTTTGAACCTTTCTGGATCCACCATCAAATTGATAAGTTTAATTATATCAAGTGCTGTGAGAAAAGGCTATAAATCTCCACCTCCAACATCCTCACACGCAATATAGCCTACTAGCCGAGACTCCTCCTTTATGTGTACAGATGTGACTTAATGACGCAAAGACATGCTCGAATCTCCCGCTGAAATCCACCAGTAGGCTACCACTGGAATTAAAATCATTATTACTTACCATTTCGAGCTAGTTTTGAACCATAGTCTTTTGAACACTGGCTGGTTATAGGCCTACTTGCTCAATTTATTTTGGATAATTTTTAACTCAGATTTATGGAATGCAGCTTTAACTAATGCAACATTATAGTGTTTTTCATTAGACTGTAGGCCATTATTATGAGGTTTCACTTCATGTTCATTTTGTTGCAAAAACAGACACAGAGTATGGATATAGGCCTATATAATGTCAAATATAATTTTTTTATTTAAAATTCAAAATAAACATTAAAATAAAATTTGCGACATGTAGATTTCTCATAGCTTATGTCATCATTTATTCCCCCCTCAAGTTGTTCTGACTAAATCCATATGAGTTTCTTTCTTCTATTGAACTCAAAAGAAGAAATTTTGAAGAATGTTGGTTACCAAACAGTTTCTGGTCCCCATTGACTTCCACAGTAGCCTGCTTTTTTTGATACCATGGAAGTCAATGGGGACCAGCAACGGTTTGGTTACCAACATTCTTCAAAATGCATGCAGGTTTAAAACAACTTGAGGGTGAGTAAATGACAATTTCATTTTTGGGTAAACTATCCTTTGCATGAGCTAACAATGAGCAATACTTCTACAGCATGTATTAATTTTAGTTAATTGAAACATTTACGAATACATTTTAAGATCAAAATGTCTGTGTATTTCTTAACTTTAATAAGCTGAACTAACATGAATAAATGTATATCTACCTAACACTCTTGAAAGTTGGAAAGAACTTTTCAGTTCCATTATTTCATTGCATTCTTACAAAAAAGAGTCCATGTCTTCCCTAAAAACAAAATGAAAAGAGCTCTTTGAAATCCTCCAACTGTTCCATGAGATTTTAGAGGGCCATTTTCTCATCCTCCTCTTCCACAGGGCCCCTAAACACATCAGAATATGTATCCATTTTACAGACAATTTCATGTTTCTGATTATTGGCAGTTCCTTCATTAGAAAATGGCAAAGAATAATCATTTTAATATTTCATATGAATGTAATATTTGCTACACAATTTAATAAATACCTCACTGCTGCTGGATGAGAAAACTCTCTGAATGCTCTTTAGCCTCTTTCAGAGAAAACCCCAAAGTTGGAGAATTAGTTACCACAATTTCCTTATATTTGGGAAGTCATGCTTTAGGGTTAGTTCACCCAAAAATGAAAATTGTGTCATTAACGACTTTATTCAGCATTGTATTGTCTTCCGGTTCTGTTGTCAATCCGCGTTCACGCTGCTGACGTGTTATCTGGTGCGTCCGTGTATTCGGGTTCAAATAAATATGGCTGGGCACAAAAATGCAACTCTTCCTCTGTGTCGAAATCCTTAGACATGTTTGCAAAGATTGTTTTATTTACAGCATGCGTCTTCCTCAGACTGTAAACGAAGCTCGGGCGCACCAGACACACGTCAGCAGCGTCTTACGTCATCAGCATCACTGAACGAGGATTGACAACAGAAAATACAATGCTGAATAAAGTCATAGTTTATGTTATTTTTAGACCAAAATGTATTTTCAATGCTTCAAAACATTCTAACTAACCCACTGATGTCACATGGACTACTTTGATGATGTCTTTATTTCCTTTCTGGACAAGGACAGTATACCGTGTATACATTTTCAATGGAGGGACAGAAAGCTCTCGGACTAAATCTAAAATATCTTAAACTGTGTTCCGAAGATGAACGGAGGTCTTATGGGCTTGGAACGACATGAGGGTGAGTCAATAATGACATAATTTTCATTTTTGGGTGAACTAACCCTTTAAGACAGAATAGAGAAAACTAAATATCAAGCAGAAACGTAATGCCACAGACCACAATTTTATTTATCAAATCGTTAAACACATTGAGCTCAACATCAATAATAAAAAACATATTATACTTCATGTATATTATACTATACCACATATTATACTTGATCTAAGTAACCTTTTTACCTTAAAGGTCCCGTTCTTCGCGATTCCATTTTTCAAACTTTAGTTAGTGTGTAATGTTGCTGTTAGAGCATCAATAATACCTGTAAAATTATAAAGCTTAAAGTTCAATGCCTAGCGAGATATTTTATTTAACAGAAGTCCCCTTTCAAAACATACAGCGAACAGCCGGTTTGGACTACTTCCTTTTTTAATGACGTAACTAGAACAGTTTGACTAATCTCCGCCCACAGGAATACACAAAAAAGGGGGCGTGGTCTTGTTGCGCTCCCACGGAGAAGAAGCACTTCAGCTGCGCATGCATCTACAATTTATGGTAAGAGGCGTGACCTTTCCGGGCAACGTGTGATAAGCTGCTGTCGAATCACAACACAGGAACCGCTGGCACAATCAGAACTCGTTACGTATTTCTGAAAGAGGGACTTCATAGAACAAGGAAGTCATCAGGCCGTTTTTTGGACAGTGAAAACAGCGGTATACAGATAAGTAAATTGTGTGAAAAATACTGTGTTTTTTTACACGCGAAACATGAACACATGTTATATTGCACACTGTAAACACAATCTTCAAAAAAACCTGAAGAACGGGACCTTTAACTGAACAGCTTTGGAGTCAGTGGAATGGTTATATTACGTATTTCGGGTTGAATGGTGGTGGTTTCGCACCCCCCTGGTGCCCGAGAGCGGAAAAAACTCACTTGTAACTTTGGACCGGCGGGCCGCCGTCAGGAAGTATCGCGTGATATCAGGTCTCGCGATGTAACGAATTGACCTATGGCTAAGCCACGCCCCGTCCACTCACTCGGACAGTCAACATTCGGTGAGAGGCGCTATGGCAGCTGTCACAGTGGGAGACATTTCACAGGAGGCAATTGATGATTTTTGGAGACAGAAAGATTATATATCATCTCGAAGTCACCAAAAGGGCCTTACCTATTCATTGGAGGGTTATATTAATAATTTTATTGTTGAGAAGGTCGATGAAAAGCTTCAGCTCCAAGCAAAAATGTACAGGTCACAGTGTAAACGTGATAAACCGCATCTCGTTCCCATGACCATCTCAGACAACAAGATAGAGGATCAGCATTGTTCATGCACTGTATTATTTACATGAATCATTCAGCACAACATTGCTAACATTTGTTGTCTCGGTTATTTAAAGATACGTTAATGAAGCTAAGTGACATGATGTACAACGCAGCTAGAAGCTAATGTCAACGTTTTCTTGGCTAACATTAGCCTACGTTACGTTAGAGATGTTAAAGATAACGTTCAAATACGTTGTTGACTTAGAACAGATGTAGACATCCTTGTTTAATTCTTGTTTAATTTATCCACGTTTAGTTGGTGTTGTGGTCTACCACATAACTTTATCCAGAGCAGACACTTATCTCGGTTGAGATGTGGCTTGGGAAAGGGTAAAAAATACACACCGTCGCCCTGCCTCTCGGGATACCTAGTGTCGGAGTTGCATGTACCCCATGCACACCGTTTGACCATTTTAAACTTAAAATGACAAGAAAAAACATAAAAACAAATGAAAACTGACTAACTGCAATGCATTTCAATGGACGTGGAAGCAG